CACTCTGTGTGCTGGTGCCACTGGTCCCTGTGTGACTGTGAAGACAAGTTGGTAATTGGTTCTTAAATGCTGCAGGTGCATAACATTAACAACTGAGCTCCACCTGACACTTGGCATCGCTACCAATACACAGACACTCTGGATCTGTTTACAAAATGTACACCTACCGGTTCCTTTTTCATTTATTTGACATCTGTCATAAGCAATCTGGTAGATTGGTCTGAAATCGTATCTTTGAAATACCTTTGTCTTCAAATACGTGTTGCTGGTTGCTTGTTGTACTTTTTTAAGTTTGACTTTAAACTGTGGCTTGTAATCTCATGTAGGGTTGGCCTCATCACACAAAAATAAAACAAAGATCTTATATTCAACCATCTAAACACTGATCAATGTCAAAGATCCTGTAATTGACGAATCTGTAGTCACAGTTGCCACTAGGGGCAGAACATTGGATATTATCGCCTTAGAAAGTTGTAAAAGTGAATGTGTTAGCAAACAATTGCTTATTTACACATCCAGGAGATACAGAGCAACATTAGCATCCATTTGGAGTCTTTATGTCCATGTGGCAAATACAAGTCCAATATTCATACACTTTCTAACCCTGCTTTGCTGCTAAATGCTCCAGTGACTGAAAACTAGCTAGCTTCTAACCACATTTGTTTGCTCTTGGGTGCTGGACAGGTAGCATACATCGAGTTTAGCAGGCCTTTTAAGCTGAGAACAGTTTCCTGCTGCTGCAGAAAATGAGGCAGATGGGAGCAGTGAACCAAAATAGTAAAGCCAAAACAATGAGCTGAAAGATGCTAAAATGCTCCGTAGAGCGGTGGGGAACTGCAGATTTGATTGATAATTCTCTGTCGCTCACCATAAATGACACCTTCCACATTTAACATAGTCAATGTGAACCATTATCTATATAATAATATAAAAATAATGCAGCTTAGATATGTGTAGAATTTCATAATTTCATTTCATAATTTTGTTCATCCCAGTGGTGGTATGAATATAGACACTGGAAGAAAGCTGTGCCATTATTCCCTGGGACAAAAATGCATAGAATTAAAGCTACATTCTACAAAAAAGGGGTTATTAAGGTTGCAATTTTGATTTCTGCATTAAACAACTTGTTTCTTGCAACAAGACAATGAACCCCTGCCAGCTATTCACCCGTGTAAATCTCTGGATAAAAGCATCAGCTAATGCCTAAACTGTAAACACAGCAATGTAAATATGTAAATTGTGTTTTATGGCAGCTCTTCACTCCACCCAGGAGGCCATTGTACTGTAAAACCAAGCTTAACAGCAATGCCTCTTACTGTTGACATCATTCTGCTTCTTAAATGACACACCACGGATTTGGAGGCAAAGAAGTTTTATTGTTGCCATCCTTGCATCCCTGACGCCTCGAATCTCTGAATCTTGGGGCACATTAAAAATTTATCCAGCAGGCTTTCTGTGTGGATAATAAAAAGATGAATACAGACACACACACGCACACACACAAATACACACACATACACAAACACTAAATCAGAGGCCCTGTTTCATCTTGGGTCTCCATTCCACCCTGTTGTTAGCAACATCTCAAGTGTCTGCCAGCTTCTGCAGTGCCTGTTGACGTTGTTTATGTTTTTAAGCAGCATACACACTTTACACTGGACTGTTAGAAGGTCAGGAGTTCAGCTGCAGAGTTTTATTTTAATTTTTTTTTAATTAAGGCATTTTTCCGGATTGTCTGTATGTGGATGGACTTCATTTTGAGTGCTTTTGGCATTCAGACTGTTTTGAGCATGTGTGTGGCCTGTGCATACATTTTATTTCTGTAATCACGTGAATGATTTTGGCTCTTATTTTGTTTTTTTTTGTAAAGATCTTGAGCTGACTTGTACATGTTATCTTAGCTTGCCTTGCATATGTTAGCCATTTGGGTTATCATTTACTGTGTGGAGCCTCACTGTCTCTGTGTGTGAGCGACTGCGTCTGATTACCCCACTGTCCACTGCTTGTCGGGGACCACTTTGTGACCGTTGCCGTGGGCGACCAGATGGCTAATTGAGCACTCTGTCATGTCACCTCCCTCCACTGGGGACTGAGCCAATCAGCTCAGGCCAGACTTCTCAACTGCTGCCCCCACAGACATCACAGTACCATCTTAACAAAGTCCAGCTTTAGGGGCCCAGAGGGACTGTTTTGAAGGCTCACAGAGAAAGCCTTGTTATAACTGATACAGCATCAAGCCACTGGCTTATTTACATTCTCTCAACCTGAGTGGTTGGAAAATTGCATGCTAGTGTGTGTGCATGTGTGCTGGGCTCACTTCCCTTCAGTTTGCTGATTAAATTCTGTCAGATTCCATGTATTTATGATGCTGCTATTGGCATACACATTGTCCGTGTTGGATTCAAAGCTAAATTACAGATGTTGCTAACAAAGGTGACCCAGGCTTTATATATCATCCTTGGCATCACATCAGAAATAGATTGTGCTCGTTAGAAATAGTTATTATGCCAGATATTGTTGGACCGTTTTTCAGTTACAGTCCTCATTTCTAATTACCATGTTGGATATCAATTGTCTTTTAGTAATTTAGTCAGGACGTCTCATTGAGATCAATATCAATATTTTACCAGTGAGAACAAATTACATTTACGTCACAACATGACAGTGCAGTCACACAAATCAGTCGCCTCACACGGAGACTCACTAATTAAAAAATTTGCAAGCATTAGTAAAGACATCAGTTAGTAGAAGCTTAGAGGAGTTAATAATAAGGTGCAAAATACTAAAATTCAGTCTTGCCCAGTTCAGAGTTGGTAGGAGGAACTTTCAAAGCCAACCTTCCCTGATTTTATTAAGCTCGGTCCATGTGAAACAAAAGGGTATATATTCCATCTATCAAATATAGTAGTTTTATAGAGTTGAAATACATCCTTACATCCTTACCTTTATTTTATAAATTACAGAAGTTCACGTCTTGAAAAACATTTTTTTTATGTAACAAGAATAACATATAAGCAAATAAATAATCTTGCTTGCACTACCAACTCATTATGAGTAATGGCTCTGCACCACTATTTACAAATACCCAAGTCAGCGGTGCAAACAGTTTACTACAAGCCACAGCTTGATGTGATTTTCATTTTTAACAGGCCTGAAAATAAACTATAGGTTATCAGTGCTGAACTGTAACAGTTTGAAAACAAACGTATACAAAATATTCAGACTTTTTCCCACATGTTGTCATGTATGAAAACACCCAAAATTAACACTGCAATCGGACTACTAGCTACTATAAGCGAATATTTAAACAGCATTTGTATAGGAATAAATCTGCCCCAAGCTTTTTGATCCATATAAGCGGATCACTATAAACGGTTTCCACTGTAAAGTAATGTGTTTGCATGTTCGTGTTAATTTACTGTAATTCAAAGACTATTCATGTGTGTGTGAACACACTGAATTAGTTGACAGAACACACATACATTCAGAAGAAATTGTCTTTTTAAATTAACAGATTGTTTTTCTCTGGGGAATGATATGTCGCCCTGAAATGAGGCTTCTTGGTGTCAGTTATGGTGGAAATGTCGCTTCAATTAGAAGTGGTTTCAATTAAAGTTATTTTACCTTGCTTGATGAGAGAGCTGGAGGTAGTGAAGATAAAATCTGTAAGATATTGCCAAGGCCCCGGCAGAAAATTGAACCTCAGAATTGAAGCTAATTGAATTTGAGAATGATAAGGTTAAATGTGGGGAGCTCTTACAGCTAGCAAGAAAGGATGGGAAGTGGGAGTTCAGAAGAAAAGGGGGAAAATGAGGGAAGGCTGCTTCTAATTTAAATAGACAAAGATGAAGAGTTCAAAACTCATCTTTAACAGATACAGTACATGCAGGTTTGTGCCTTGAAATGCTCTCGGAACACCTTATCTTTGACTTTGCAAGAGTATAACCGTGTGACAAAGTCATGACTAAATAAACAGTAGTTTGTGTAATCATGTTTTATGCTGCTTATGGGAGAAATAGATAATACTGTGCAGGTTCATTGACTTCCACGGGGGAATATTCTCCACATGGAGGTCAGAGCAGCAGCCATGAAACTGGCAAGGTTTCAGTGTCTTGCTTAAGGGCACTTCAACAATGGGGAAGCAGGCCGTCATGGAGCCATGATTCCATGTTTTCTGGTTGAAGGACAATCTTTTTGGGGATTTTACATGAATACGAATGGGATCTAAAGATAGAATTGCATCTGGGATTAGTGCTGTCTTGATCTGAAATCAAATTCATTCCAAACCAAACCTGTATTTTTTTGTGACCACACTATGATATAACAGCGATGATGACTTGATGGAAGCTGGACATCTCGACAAATAATATCTGGATAGTATGCTGTAGTAATACAGGCGTAAGTGGCAAAGTGCTCTGTGGGATTGCATACTTTATTTAATCGAGCATGGCGTAAGTTCAGGCAGGCAACGAAGTCCAGCTCAGGTCACAATATAAATAATTGTATTGAACCCCACTTGCAGCCATCACTCTCCAGCACGAACTCTAGAATCTAAACCCTGGAGTCTGGTTTAGCACCTCAACAATCACAGACGCTTCAAAGTGATGCCTTTACACTCTTCACAATGGCATCTATTGGATTAAATGAGAAAAACAGTATAAATTCAAGCCGCTCACCATATGTCATTTAGTCTTTTTGGCTTTCTACGGATTGCTCAGCTAGCTCCTCCTCCTGGCACTTCCATGTAAGCTCATAGAAGGCCAGGGAGGCTTGATGGTGAGGTTGTTTTGGGGGGTTTTTAGTGGATGCTATGCTAGGATTCACTGGGGTTCAAGTACGGTAAAAATTACATTTAAGATTTGTACTTAAATTTTATGCCATTAGGTGGAGGGGAAATGGAGACAGAAGTGCAAGTGAAGGATCAGAGTGGTGCAATGCCACCATCACATTCTTTGGGTTAATCTGCGTCCCTGCTCATTTACTGTCTCCCCTTGCAGATTTCCCCAGAATCGAGCAGTGTTCGGAGAACACCTCCCTGTCTGATGCTTCCCTCTTCATGGATGGCTTCCTCTACATCTCCTCTGGCCCAGCCAAGACGACGCTGGACCGCCGTGGAAGAGATGGTGAGTGTAACTGCCGTTTTGCAAACCCCCGGCAAGCCAATCAATCCATTTGTAAGCAATTTGAACTGCATGTTTGTCAGAGGTCTACTCCAGTTAAGCGCTGATCGATCAATCAGTGTCAGGCTGTCAGTTGTCAAACTGCCAATCGTTTAATCCGTACACCAAACAGTGCAGTCAAAACGATCAATGAATCCGTCTTTCAAATTCGTTCTGAGTCTGCCCTGTGGGAATACTTGTCAGACAGGAGTATGTTCTTAGATGACTCAGCCGTGAATGCTCTGTGGAAGTACGGAGTAACTTAGGGCCAGGTTAAAAAATAATTAACAAAAAGAGAGTCTTTTCTAAAGCTCCCTGAGAGATGCTACCTACAAAACTTCTGAATTCTCCTTCTTTTGTCTTCCAAGGCAGTTTAAAACTTTTAATCAGGCTCTGTCTCACACCCAACTCTTGCTCTGCAGTGGTCCCACTTCTCCAAACAGCTGGAGCGTTTCTTGGGCCCATGGGTAATTAGGAGAAGGAGCCAGCTTTGGATGCTGCCCCTGGGGATGGGGGTTATTGGGAAGGTGGAGAAAGTGGGATTGAGAATGGGGCCTTGAGGGGGGTTGGGGGATGACAGCTTGCAGCTACCTGCCACTTGAACGAACTGAATCTCCTGCGTCTTCATCTCCATTTCCATCACCCCACACACGCTCCACTCTTATTGGTGGTTGTACATGCTGGTTAATGAACAGGGCTGAGGTCAAGGAAATCCCCCCCTTAGAGGAGATTGGTGGGCAGTGGGGAGTCTTACCAGTGTCTATTGAAATTCTTATAATTTGTACAACTGGAATTCATTTTCATTTCATTTGTTAAAGTATAATTCCAGTGCGTAGTAATTTGGGTCGTCTTTTCATAGTTGTTGGCCATCATTTCTGCTGATTAAGAAAATATTGTACATGGCAACCTCAATACACTGTCTAATGGGTCAAGAAACGTGCAGACAGGTTTTAAATAAGTCTGTTTTAAAATAACATTAACCAGATTATCGCTGACCAGTGTTACCATTCAAAATTGGCTTACCTTTTGGGTTTCTTCAAAACCATCTTGCCGGTCTGACTTGTTTTTACCAATGTCACCATGTTCCTAGATCTCAGCGATGAACTTGTTGAGTACAGTGTTACTAATGATGACATATCCCTTTTTAATATGTCTTGGTGAAACCAATTTGTCCTTTAAACCTGAATGTAGGTATTTTTTTCTTGGCCACATGGGGGCACCAGAAACAAGTTAGTCTCTAACTTTGCTGTTAAATGCTGGGCAGGTAGTGGACAGTGGGTTGGTTCAGCACAGCTTCTTTGCTGAAAACAGCTGCCTGCGTATGGAAACATTGAAATCCTTTTTTTTACCTTTATTTATGGTCAATGAGGGAGGGAAAGAATTGCTTGTTCACTTTCCACACACATATTTCAGGGAATGAACCGTCGACCTCCTAACCTTTAGGCCACCGCTGCCCTTGATTTAGGTAAGAGTGGTGAGTGTGAACCAAAAACAGTAAAGTTGCAAGCTTAAACCCCCCCCAAAACACTAAAATCCTCTGTAGAGCTGAGGTGAAATGCAGTGTTAGGTGATGATTACCTATGTGTTCATCAGTACGAGTGATGCCTTTTACATTGCAGGTGGTTATTTTACCCATTGTATCTATAATAATATTGATTAGAGCAGCTTTAAGCATTTGTCTTTTCAGTGTGATTTGTCATTTTAAGGTAATTGCAGGAAAAAAACACTATTGGCTGTTCTTATAAAAACCCATTGGGGTGACACTGTGTGGTTTGTTGTTCCTGGTCCATTTTAGTCAGTGCGTTTTGTACCACTTACAGACACTGCACCATTCCAGACATGTCTCCCCTCAGAGAAGTGCTCGTAATATTTTGGCTGATAAATACCTTGTTATTTCATCTATTATGGAGAGCCGTACAAGTTTGGCTTTTGTGCTTTAATGGCTTTAACTGCAACTGCAGCTGTTGAAAAATTCAGGGGGATTTGGGTTTAAAACTCACTGCGTTCCAACTACTTCAATCACGAGGAAGCACTGTCAGGACTTTGTGAGCACGGAGGGATGGGGTATTTTTGAATGTACTCCAGGATGCCTTTTGCTCCTAGGCTAATGGTTTGATGGTCTATAGATACACCCAAGTTCTTAATAATTCATAAGTTGTTCTCAGGGCTTAATAAAAGCACTCTGCCACAGCATCTTAAACTTTGCCTTTTGTTTTTTTGTCTGGGGATGACTCCAATAGGCTTTCATGCTTCCACTGGTGGGAGCTAAATTCAGAGTACGACTTAAATTAATTTGGCAAGCAATTTTGGTAATGGCCTTGACAGAGGTGGTATGGGAGATCATTGCGCCAGTCCACCATAATGAAATAAAATACTGTGCTGCTTAGCATTTATCAGAAAAACACGTTCAGACTAGATGCTGCTGGGAATATAAATTAGGATTAGAAAAACATTATTCCTTGTTGTTTTATTTGTGCTGAAATCAAGGTTGAACTGGTTTATTCTCCAGCGTGGCACCACTTTATTAGCTGTTCAATTGAGCTCCGCTCCGTATCAGGTTCACGCAGTTGATTCCAGTATAAATGACGCCCCCAGCCCAAATAGGCAGAACAGTGACTCAAGCTACTTTCACATTACAGAGTGTGTGCATGCTTTGTGCACGTCTGTGTGCTTGTGAGAGTTTAGGGAGGGAAAGAGAGACGGTACGCCATTACTGTCTGAAATGGTGAGTGGCAGCAGGGAAATGGCACCCCTCATTTCTGATTAGTTTGGTCTTTTCCTCATCAGCTGTGCTCTGTTTTTTTGCTTGCAACAGTAACTCACAACTGCCAGAGACAGAGGGGGGGGGGGGGGGGGGGGGCAGTTTTATTGAGGACACAAATCTGAGCCCATATGAACATTGAATTACTTGCATCTACAAAGCTGGAGTTGAGTTTTTGATAATAAATTTAAATTGTCTTTTTACACTAAGCCTATTTAAACTATTTGTTTAAACCTAATATTCTTTTTGGAATATCCTTGCTCATATTACTGTGCATCTGCTTGCCTAAATGAGTGAGTAGTGCTGAAGCTTGGGCCAGAAATACATGGCAGATAGTGTTTTTTTTTTCTCCTTCTTTATCTTATGCCATATCTGTCCATCCCTCCCTGTAATGAAGTGGGCTGTAATTCTGGCACAGACAGATCGTTCGGATACCTTCAGTTTCTCGATTTCCATTTCCAGCCCCCTGACAAGCTGTCCAGCAGATGTCTTCATCACAGATATTTTAGTCTGATGGTGAGATAGGCAGAAGATTGGCGGAAGGGGGAGAGGTGAGAGACTGAGGGAGGGAAGAGGGTGATTCAGTGGAAAGGGGCACGGCCTGCTTTTTCGATGCATACTGAAATGGGTGTCTGTGCAATGTCGATAAAAAGTTTAGGAGGACATTGGGTAAATCTGGAGGACTGCAGTTAAACATAAAGCTTTGGACACAATCAGAGCCCAAACTTTTGAGTAAATATGTTATTCTGTAACGTGGTCCTTTCAGTCACCGAACAATAAGACAGTTTAATTGCCACATTGATGACTTGATTAGTCTCATCAACCTGCTCATCTTGCATACTTGGAGCATTTAGCAAATTTGACAAATTGCTGAAGCGAGATAGGAGGTGGGGGAAAAAAAGAAAAAGCCAGGCAGAGAGATTCCACATTTCCCCTGGAAAATGCTATGCGGGGAGCACTCTTGGCGTACAAGCTAATTGGCTCAATTTAGCTGGTGGAGGCATGTACCACGGTTGGCTTCCGCTAGCGTTGTCTCTGGCGGCTGGTTGCGGACTCCCGTGGAGAACGGCTGGGCCACGGGGCCATTGCTGTGTGTGTGGGGAACAGCTGGCAATGGACGCAGCTGCCTGATTGTAAATCAAGCACTATTGTTCCCCCCATTGAGGTGGAGCTTGTGTGGAAGCTACTGGTTTCCCACCCGCGAAGGAAATGCTGAACCACAAACAAAGAAGGAAGAAGGATGATGTGCAGGTTTTTCATAAAGCCAGTTTCCTGGTAAAATATCTTGAAGGGATCCAAAGGCATTCACTGCAGTGATAGGCAGTAAATTGTTACGCAAATTCTGACATAGCTGAATAATAATTAAATTCAACTAAGTAAAACTCAATGCAGCTATTCCACATTTACACTGCAGTCCTTACGGTACTGAAATGGCAGCCATTCCTCTGGTAAGTGTTATATTGATACAACTTTCAGCCTGGTTTGAGATATTCTTTTACTTTCAGTCCTACATAAAAATGTCTAATTCCTGTCATCATAGCTTCTTCTGTCTTCTCCTCAGTGTACAAAAATCCTTCACAGTCTTTCACAATTCAAACCCAAAAGAGATAACTGTATCTGAAATTACGTTTGTCAAACATTTATAATCTCTCTACACCTTGTGGCCCCCCTTTAATCCTACTCCTTTACCAACCCTTGTTTTCCTCAGCATGTTAAAGCCTTATGTGAGTATCTGTTCCTGGACACTAATAGGATAATTCTTCAGAAACTGGATGGTCGAGTAGTGAGCCCATTCATGTGTTCACACTCTCTGGACCCAGGATCCCGTAGCAATTTGCTTCCCGGATTTACAGTGGGATTTTTAATGTCTTTCTCCTTGAAACTGAAAGGAAATTAAAAACTTTTTTCCCGCATTTCCACAGCATAGATTTTGTGAGACGTTGTCTGTTCAAGGAGACAGGATCCGGACACCACATGCACCAACATCAAAATGAGATCTATTAATATTTCTGATGTAGTAAGAGCTGCCTCATTTACATATTTCAAGGTCCCAAAAGTTTTGGCTTGTGAACCCTCAAAACGCAGAAATGTCTCCTGGGACCCCTCGTCACTGAATGTCTACTGCTTGTGACAAGTTCAATCAAAGAGTGAATTTTAAAATCCATATTGTATTTTAATCATTCCTAGGGGCCTAAATATGTAAAATTAATTTTCAAAATAATTTCCAAGAATAACTGACATGAAAAAGAATTTTTTTTGTTTCTATCATGTTAATCACTTTACGACCCCAGGTTTAGGGCAGTGGATCCATCAAGAACCATTGATGGATAAGTAACCTGGCGGTGTCACTAGATGAAACTTCAGGGTGACCAAAATTGTGGACCGCTATCTGTACAGCCATGCTGCTAACTTGGCAAAGATGCAAAGATTGAAGGAAGATATACAAAACAAATATAACTGACCCTTCAGATTTATCTTGTGGCCCCGGGTTGGGAAGCATTACCCCGCACAATACCTGTTTGTACTTCAGTACATCAGTTACATACATAACTTTAATTGCCTCTACAGCCACAGGGGCCATTATAAAGCAAATTGTCTAGAGAATCAATGGCATTACCGCTTTCGAGAAGCTTATGATAGCAATTGACTTCAGTTAGGAAATCAAGTGTGCTTTTTTAAGAAGATGATTGTGTGAGGGTTGCAGATGGTACAAATGGAACCATTCAGTTATTAGCCTATTAGAGGAGGGACAGAGGGAATGGAGGCAAAATTACAGGAAAACAACTTAAATACTTGCCGGTGTGGGAAATGATGGACATGACATTTTCTGCAGTCCTGGAAAACATTTAACGGAAGTGAAGTGCATTACAATCTTTTCCGTCACCAAGACAACAATGCGCCCCGTCAGATATGTTGGATTGGTAATGACTTTAAATACCAGTCACTCTCTCTCTCTTTCTCACACACACACACACACACACACACACACACACACACACACACACACACACATGCACAGTTGGTTTCAGATAGAGATGATGATTCTTTGGCTCTTGGAATAAAATATTTTTTCTTGAACCAAAGTGGGGTCAGGAGAACAGTATTTGTTAAATGCCACAGCAAGCAACAAGCTATTAGTCGTTTTGCAATTTTAATGCTGTCTACAGAATTGTGTCCAAAAAGGTTTTTTGAGACAGAAAAGGCAGAAAGAGCCGTACAGTGAGGCGGTGCAAAGGTGAGTAGAGCAAAACTGACATCCTCCTTTCCTATGCTCATCACATCCTTCGTCTTTTAACAGCCAGTTGTAGACACTTCCTTTTCTTTATTGGAACTATATCTGTTCCTTCAGAAACATCACACACAGTTGGCAGAGGAATGTGTAATTAGCATATTCATGAGATGAATACAGTGGAAACTTTGGAGTCGCAAGCGACAGGGGGTGGGGGGTGGGGGGCAGTTTGTGTGTGTGTGTGTTTGTTGCGGAACGAAAAAAGCAGATGGCACGGTGACTTTGAAAATCCAAAATTAGGTATGTTTTCATGAACTTCATGCTCATTGGCTATGTAAATCACACAGTCAGACAATCATGAAAGACAATGTTGTGTGTTTTCCAGCTTTTCCACTGAGATCGTGTTTGTTGATTGAAATCTGTTCGGCACTTGGAGTCGCTTAACTCTTTTAATTCTGTGTGTGTGTGTGTGTGTGTGTGTGTGTGTGTGTGTGTGCCCCCTCACATCCACTAGTCTCTATGTTTGACTTAGTTGGCCTCTAATGGACAGAAACATCAGGGTCTGTCTCCTCACATAAGTCATGTGATTGCAATCAGAAAGTGTGTTGTGGACACAAACTAAATCTTCAGCCTTCGACCGTAAACTGTTTGTATTCCTCACTCCAGCCAAGACTTCTTTTGTTGATTTTGGAAATGAACAAATGAACAGTCTGCCAGTCGTCTTTAGACTGCTTTTTGTTATTACAGTATGGGTGTTCTTTTTTGCTCTAGCGTTGTATCTTTGATGTTGATCTTGGAAGGATGTTAACTTGAAATCCTGGCCTTCAGGTGGTGTGATCTCTTTATGCCTGTCTGGTTTGGCTTTGGATAAAAACAACTTGGTTTTTGAGCTAACTGTACCCTTAAGAAGAAGAAAAGTGGAGGCCTATGACACTGCCACGTCTCCATCCATCCATCCATGCATGAAAGCTGAATGCACAGTGTCTTATCTCCAAACTTTTAAATGATTTCTTGGTACTGCTGTCTAAGCTTGTAGAGACTCATTAACTGTGTTAAATAGGGTTGGAGTGGTGCTAATTGTTAACAAACCAATCGCTAATAATGCAGGCTCTAATTAATTTCTTTTTCTGACTCTACAAATGATAGCCAATTTGTTAAGTTTTATCAGTGTGCAAGTGCATGGTTCTACAGTAATAATCTAATAGAGGCAGAGACATATTGGAGGGTTCTGGGCGCATAAGGAAAGGAGCTATACGCTGTTTTCAGTTAGCATCAGATCGGTTTACAAAATGCATCCCCAATATTGCATTTTTCTTTTACACTTACTGAAATTAACCTACATTGTGCTTAAAGTGAGACTATGCAAGTTTTGAAAGAAGAAATAAATAAATATTCATATCGTAAGAAAGACAATGAACTTTTGCTTAATTCCTTACACTCTGGCGTTTTGCTACTGCAGCCTTTCGTGGTCCGTTATGACCGGTAAGTTGCCTTTGGTGGATAGCTAATTTTAGCAATTGTTTAATGGTTTAATTACAAAAATAAAAAAACAAAAACAAAATGTAAACACTAAAAAACCCTACCAGCCAAGAAACATGTTTGTTGTTTCCTGGTTGTGGTCCCTTTCCACTCGCTCTCCTGTAGGCCGTGTACTAATGACGTCTTCTAAAGTAACTGAGACGAGAATGAAATTGAATGTGCCATTGCATTGTAATTAACACTTGTGACCACAGAGGGTGCTGTTCAGTAAAGTTACATAGTCTTGCTATAATAAGATCTGCTGTTGTTATTATTTGTTATTAAGTTAGGATTCCCCAAACAGCCTAAAGCAACATCTGTAGCTCTAAGCAGGAGGTAGCGTGAGGCACAAAAAATCAGTGGGAGGTTTACAGTGAGTGACTGGCTTGACTATCAATCTTTCCCTACTTTTGACCAAGTAGTTTAGTTTCCTAAACTTGAAAAATGTACCTCTAGTCTAATTTTGGCCTATCAAAGGGCACTAGATCAGTGAAACAATCACAAGGGTCATTTTGGAATACGTTTTTGGAGTAAGTATGAGGATTAGCTGTAGTGAGTTACACAAAGTGTGTAAATACACTGTATGTATATAACGTAATGTGTATATGTATATTTTTATTCTTACATGATTATGTGTATATTTCAGATATGGCACGCCGTTGGTGCACGTTGGAGGGCGGCTTCCTAAGTTACTATGAGAGCGAGCGAAGCCCGTCGGCCATCGGCAGGGTGGATGTCACCGAGGTGGTTAGCCTGGCTGTCAGCACTAGAGAGACAATGACTGGAGCTGGGTATGAACACACATACATGTCTCCAAAATCTACTGTAAAATTTTGAGTCGAGCTCAGAAAAACGTGTTGTTTTGTTAATATGTTTGTTTGAATTCATGGAGTTGATTTTCTTCACCTAAACATTAACATAATTGATGAAATGGTTTAATAATGATTTCCAGTCTTGATATTAATATATAACATTTAATATTTATCTAAATCCTGTGCAGGAAGTGGTCGTTTACATATATTTCAAACTTTAAATGGGGATTTAATTTACACTCAACATTTAGATATCCTCTTATATGTGTACCCACCCCCATGCTTAATTTGCATACCCTCTGCTAAATCATAATATATATGTTCCTCCTGTGTTAAGGACAGACATGCCATACACACTCAAACACCTTTCAAATGATTTATTTTCTTTTATTTGGCTAAATTACAATTTGATTTGACATGTGATTCATATATTACAGAGCTTCCTTCTGGTTTAACATAAACACAAACGTAAACACAGGCTTCTGCATAGTTTCTCTCCGTAGTCATATGTCTCATTAGCATAATCTTAACTTGAGCATTATTCAATTTAACAGAACCCATCAGGGGTTTATGAGCACTATATTTCCTGTTTGGTGGCGATGCAGGCGAACGGCGCAGCTTTAATGTCGTTCATTTTACCGTGCCACCTTCCCTATCACTCTCTCTCACATTATGATTCAGTAAAAAAAGAAACTTTCTGACTGACAACAAACTTTTTCTTTATTTCTTCTGGAAGTGTTACCAACACACAAAGAAGAAACAGATGTCTCGATCTATTCTTGCTCACCCTCTCCCTGCTCCCATTGGGTCGCACTATATGTGTGTTGGTGTGTGTGTGTGTGTGTGTGTGTGTGTGTGTGCTTCAGTCTGATAATGGCATATGATTAAAGCATAAGCCCAGGTCCTTAATGACAACAGCAGATGTTATGAAGAGGGAACAGTGCTTTTATTTGTAAATGTTATTTATACAGCCATTAGAAACACATCTGGCCAGCTAAAACTATGCCCTTTCTAATGAGCTGGACACATTCAAACAGTTGTGACAGGTTACAGTGATACTTTGTGTGCAGAGATTCTGCAAAGCAGTGGTGACATGCGCTGCTTTTAGCTTAGCGCGCACATCCCAGCTACAGGTCATGGCGTCGCCCACAGAAAGGCTACTATTTCTCTGTGGCTAACACTCATAATGACTGTACGTTTCACTAGATTAAATTCTGCCTCACTCCCTCTCGCTCCTGCAACTTCCAGTGTTCCCAGCATGCCTGTGCGCAGAGAGAGCGGGGACGCCTCACCTCTTGACTGTCTGGCTCTCATGAATATTAACGTATATGCAGATGACACACTCCCACCAGCAGCCTATCGCCACGCTACAGGAGGCCGTAGGTGTCGCTTCCATTAAACACGGCATTTGGGTAATTTCACCGTGGCAGAGGACACCGTGAATTATAGCGCGGCCCTGACACATAGGTCTGCCTAAGTTGTATGAATATTACAAACCCGCTCACTAAGGAATTAATGCAAAGAGAGTGTGTTGGCTGATGATAAGTTGAGGTTTTCTGGGGACTTTTTTTGGCTCAGCCGCCTGTTCTGACAAGAATATTTCTAAGTTAATTCTGACCTTCAAATTCAACTGAAAACCTTGGAAACAAACCTTTCTGCTCTCTCCCCGTTTTTCTATTTCGTCTTTTTGGCTGCGTTTATGCACCATTTCACTATCTCCGTCGCTCCCTTTCTCACCGTTGTCTCCTCTCACATGCACCAAGAAGAATAGCAGAGTTTTTAAAGACTTTTAGAAGGGCTTAGTTGCTAACTTTGCCAGCGAGATGGGTTATATATATATGAGGACTGGGGAATTAAGGCTTTCTCAGAGCACGCAAAAGCCTTCAGGAGAAAATAAAAGGCTACAAAAATACATATGATAACTTTATGCATGCTTAAAAGTACAGTTGAGTCTTGTGCAGCAGACTCTTCCACAAGGGCAAGTGCGTTTAGGCTCTGTCAAACTTTACTCCACCACAAAGAGTTTGTACCATAGCACACTCAAATAAGCCCATGAGCTTGTGTTCTGTAATTAAATTGAATTAAAATTATTTAATTTAATTTTTTAAATCTAGAGACAGTACATAAAAAGATTAAGTCTATACTGTTATAAATAACTAAAATCACTTGTTTTGTCTTTTTTTATAATATGATTGAGGGCTGGTGGCCTGAACAAGGCCATAAAGCACAAGAATGTGTCCTGTGTGATGACGGCTGCATGTTGTCTCTTATGAAGTTGCTTTCACTCTCTTTATTTCTAGCTCGCTTTCACTCTCCTCAGTAACTCCCTCCCTCTGTGAAGCTCAAAATGCAGCGCTCATCTCTTATGCCTCTTCTCCCTGTGTCCTTTCTTTATGATACCATTTGGCCAGCGTATTGCCGTACCCCCTCCTTCATGCTCCCTCTGGGAGCCCCTCGAACAAGTGCCTACACATCTGCAGATGAAGGGGGGGGGGGGGGGTGCTGCAAGGTCACATAAACACCCATGTCTCGCCTGTTCCCCTGACACGCGCGAGAAGAGAGCGACTCCGCGCTGCCCTGACCCCCTGTGACACGCCAGCTTAAACACCCATCGCTGTAGCATTTAGAGCCTCCAATGGAAAACGAGATGTGGCGGTGTGTTCAAACCATTAAGATAGTGATACTCTAACCTCTGTACCTTCACTGAGAAAGAGACAAAGAGAGAGAGAGAGAATAGGGGAGGCAGAAACGACATGAGGAGAACGACCAACAAAGATTAATAGCTGCCTTTTCGCTTCCGACAGCAAGGGTTTTGTGTGTGTGTGTGTGTGTGTGTGTGGATGAAAAGGCGTGGGAGTGCATGCATTCCACATCTTTAATTTTTAATTCCACATTTTTAATTTTTTTGAAGGATTATATATTAGGTGTGTATATAACCTTATGCGCACATACATTTTTTGTATTTATCATATACTACCCAGGAGAGTGAATGTTTGTCACTGACTGACTGACACACATAAAAAAAACACCTGCATCACAGTTTCAAGACAAAATCTGAATATCAGAAATACATAGACATTACAGCATATAAGCAAAGCTACTTTATATCAATACGACAGGTGAAGATTTCAATAATAAATAAATAGTTTTTCTTTATATTATATGTCGAAAGTATATTTGTAGGCATCTTCTGTGTGAAAACATTTAAAGAAAGACAATCCTGATGAACCTTAAGTAAGCAAGTAGATGAAATCTCATGGACCGATGTGTGGAAAAATGCAAGGCATCAAATGAAGCCAATTCAAATACTCAGCCAGTTATATTATACTCTTACTCATCTGTTTCAAATGTGTGTATGAGACAGTAATCCACTTTTACTCGAGGCAGAACTCTTAACATCAGATAAAATAAATGTCTGATAGTTTTCTTTTCCTTTTCCAAAAACAAACTTAAAGCGGTGATAAATAATATCATACAGTATAGTCGGCAGTGTGTGGCAATCTGTTACAATAATTTGTGTCAATCGATGGTTGCTGTGGCCTGTGTGGTGTACACAGCTAAAACAGTATAATTTACTTTCAATGGTCAGCATGTAAAAAGGACTAATGAGCATATTTTCATCATTTGGGTTGATTGGGGGAGAGTTAGCCGAGGGAAGTCAAAGCTCAGCTTGTTGAAACAGTCAACACGACTTACCATATTTTTGGTATTTCAGACAATATGCCAACGCGCAATACCTGAAGGTTAGCAAAGTGGGCAGTTGGCAATAGAGTATATTCACAATGGTACATTATTCATTTTTGCAAGTTGATCTTCAGTCTGGTAAAGCTAGTCTTGTGTGTGCAAAGATGCACAGATTAGGGTGTTTCTTCGCCTGTTTCTTGTTTGTGGGGACACTTTCCTTTCCAAATATTTAACAGCGAGCTGTGTGTCTCTGTCAGGGCTGTGTTTTCTGTAGAGTTGTACCTGCAGACAGAGCGAGTACTGATTGTCGGAGCTGAAACACAGGAAACACAGCATGACTGGATCCAGGCGCTAACAAAGGTGACATACTTTGCATACAGCACGCTTATTTTCATTGCCTCCTTTATAAGTTTGTTTTTTCACTTAAAGTTACAAAGAAGAAATGTGCTGCAGAACTACAGCACATCCACCCAGTGCTGTTTCATTCACTCTGCTGCTTTGCAACATACACAGTCACACACACACATTGTCCTCAGTGAGCCCCATGCTGCCTGTGCTGTGACAAGTGGTCTTGCTATCTCTTCCCCAACACACTGACAGGATCTTGCAATAACAACACTACATAAATATGTCCCCTATTCCCTTTTTTATCTCTTTAATCCCAGGCAACCCAGTCATAGATAGTGGGAGGTATAACGGCATTAGTCCATATGTCTCTCCATCTGTACCATAGGCCTTCCACACCTCCGTATTTCAATTTGAAACACAGAACAATGGCCAGACTGAGCCGGGGCGTGAGCGTGAGAAATGTGCTTGGAGAGACATTCAGTCAGGGAGCAGAAAGTGAAAAGTGGTTTATCCCTACAAGAAGGCTACACCTGTTGTGTTTTTGTGATGTACTTCATTTTGAGGTGACGGTAAAAAGTTTCATACTGCTAAATGTGAATGTCCTTAATTTGCCTGCTCTCTCTGTTATGCATGTGACGCGCAGTGCTTCGTCCCGTCTAAAGTCGAGGGATTGGTGCAGAAAGACAGTGAGCTGATTGGCAGACTGCATTACAAAGAAGGCCATGACCTGTACCACTGGAGGATGGGCTGGTTTATGCTGGAAGGCTCTGCCCTGCACTTCAGCTCAGGAGAGGAGGGTGAAGAGGAGGAAGTGCTTCAACTCAAACAGTTACAGGAGCTCAGTAAGCATATTTGCTTTATTTCTTTCTTTCTTTCTTTCTTCGTTTCTTACTTTGTCTCAAGTGCCGGGAGGTTAACGACATAGTGACTACCTGCAGTCTTGATCATTAACTGGATAATATGTTAGCACAGTCATTCTTTGTAGAACTGAATGGTGTGATACAGCTAATATAATAGCTTCCTTCAGTTGAAGTCTCTCTATTCCCCCAAAGGTCAGCACTGTCAAGATGGTTTGCAAAGGGTGCAAATTGGGGTGTCAAAGTTAAACTGCAAAAGCATTAGGGTTGGGTACCATTCACATTTAAACCAGAACCTGGAATTTGGTACTTTACTCTGTTGTGGTAAGTTAAAATAAACAATAATAAATGAATTATAAACAAGGTAAAATAAGTTGTTTAGGCTACCTGTGTCCAAATATCTCAAGGTCTTGTTGTGTCGACTTTTTTTAATTGAAGAATAGCACTGCTGTCGAAGCGATATACCCACTTTATTTCCAATAAGTTTGTCACAATAAAAGGCCTCTGTTAGTTTGACAGCAGAAAGCTTTTAATATGCAGCAGCAGGAAAGTAAGATTTGGCACAATTTGTGACCGCGGTACTTCTTGGCGGCTTGACATGAGTTCTGTTACATGTCCATTTCTGCGGTACAGACCCCTAAAGACAGTGAAGAAATACTTACCCAGCAAAAACATACAGATAATAGAGAACAGAGAATATTGAAAATCTTGTGAATTATATATAGGCATAGCATAATCTGAAACATGAGCAATTTAACTCAAAATAAGAAGACAAACCATTTTTAAACGTAAACGAAATGATGTTAAGCATCGTGTGTTTGAAGGTAAGTTACACCAGTCTGAAGAAGCCTTAAACATAAATGCTCTCTTTGCTATTGCTTATCTGACTGTAGGAGTGGAGAACAAGTAAATATTGTGTAGAATGCCTCAAATTATATATTGAGGAATATAGTACCAAAAACAGTTGTAGGTAATGAGGATAGCTGAAATGTACGCATTTAAAAATGAGTTGCAGCCAGTGAATGTGTCTTCTTAGATTGAGTGAAGGCCAACTACATGAGTTATACATTGTACAGTGATGAATACTAAAGGAACATCCAAGAGAAAGAGAGACAACATCGGCGTAGTCAAAAGATGGTAATATAAGGTGCATGGCAAGTTTCTTTCATACAAAACCGTTTCTAGATGAAAAAAAACCCGCTTACTACTTAAAACACATGCAATACTCATTCAAAAAGGTGTGTCTGGTGTGGTGGAGCCCGTACTGAGCTAAGCATGATTGACTTCTTGCATTAATACGTACATTAAAGAAGCACCTTAAAACTTACTTAAACTCATTTTTGTTTAAATACATTTATCACAGTTCTGTCCCAAATTGCCACAGCTTACAGTCCCTGGTGAAATAGCTTCAGTGGAGCTTTTAATACCTTTTTAAAAGTCTCTCAGCCCAAAATGACCACATCTGTTTATGGTTGATAGTGTCAGTGGTCAATTGCAGTAACTCAGTGATGAATTTGCTGAAATTTCTGGATTTTTAAAATGCACTCACACCATTTTGATGTACTGTGTAATTTCCAAAAAGCTAGCAATCCATAACACCCTCCTACTTGCTTGCATTTATAACCACTTAAGGATGTCAGAGGATGCATGCGAGCCACCAGTGTCAGATAACATTTCAGCTTCTCACACCATTACACATTCCTGTTGGATCTCTGCTCTAATTGGCTGGCTCAGTCGTCCATAATAAAATCATCTTTTGAGGGGACTGGAGAAACAGAGAAGACGCCGCAGACCTTTATATGAGGAAGTGTTCTGTTAATTTGAGGGCAGTAAAGGTCAGTGTAACGTAACGCATCGTCAAGAGAGCATCAGCCAAAATAGGGTTTGCATTTCTTTAAGATATGGCGTGAAAACATGATTTTAGAGAGATTCATGTGACATTTGTTAAAATATTCAGTGTGATGGTAGCATTCTTTCCACTGCCCACTAACATGAATTATGCCAATATCTCCACATTACTGGCAAACCACAGTTATTTAAAGGATAGTCAGTGGAGGGAAGCTTCTAGTTACGGTTGACGTTCACACATACTTTGGCAGATTGATCGATTGCGCCACTGTGATGAGAATCATCGGATCTTTTTAATCCATTTACAGCTCGACGTGGATCAAATCGGGCAAAGTGAGGCCTCATCTTCTCACCTTGGGCGGGGTAAAGAACTGCAGCGGTCCTCATTTTTATTCCCGGCTTTCTCAAATCATATTTGTCACAGCCAGCGAGCCGTTAGCGCCAGAAGGGACTGTGTTTTGTCAGGGGATGGTAGGTTCTGGAGTATTGAAAGGACCCCTTTAGGAATCGCAGTCTGTGACATGGGATTAACTGTTATTTTCTCTGCAGTGACACCGCCACATGAAAGGTGCCCCTGTGTAGGAGCGAGGGATTTAATAAATACACTTTCAATTAAAAACACTACATGTTCCCAACATGCAGCACTTCAAACTGCACAAGTTCAGTGCAAGTGTGATGCAGTCAATTCCTGGTTTTTCTAACTCCAGGCTGGCAGTTATGACCAAAGCTTTTCTGAAGGGTTTTTATTACTGCAGGTAAACTGTCTTATGACTATTACTATAAGTTTTACTGTCTTTAGTTTATTTTTCAAATTATTCTATTGATCTTTGTCAATTGTCAATCTTTGTCTTGGATATCAAACACTTTGTTTTTGCAAAGTGCTGTATAAAAAAATAAATTTATATGTAAACAACAAAAAAGAAAGAATCCCATCCTATAAGAGTGCACTACCTCTCAAAATGGCTTTCTGGGGGTTCAGCTGTGTACTTGAGAGAGGATTGATCTTTTTGTGATGTCTTGTGTCAAGATGTCTGCTGCACAAATAACTAGAACCAGAGTTAAATGAGGAGGAAATGACAGATACAGTTGGATAATCATTAACCTGTCACACAGCACAAATCAGCCTTCCCACCCAGAACTTTGAAATGAACGGCTTTCAAACAAGATAAGCACATTAACTTTGAACTCATTTCTCAGTAGATTTCTCTTAAGGCAGTGACTAAATAGGGAAAAAATGTTAATCCCACTGCTCTGCTCAATCATCTAAAAATTAAGATAGGCATCATCACAAGACTGCAGTCCAGCATATTTAGCAGTCAAATTTGAGTGTGTCCACACTGAGGTTCATATAAAGGCAAAATTAGATTTTAAATCATTTTTCAGGCATTTAGCAATCACGGCTAGCATGATCAGAAAGAGCTAGAACTGTTTCTGATGATTCACGTTCATTTGGAAGTTAACATAATAATAAATAAGTAATTGCCAGGGCCAAATTCTGATCAAATGAAAATCTTTCTATGTGTTGGGAAAGTCTATTGCTACACAGTACACACATTACAGTTAATAAAACCAATCCAGTGTAGCCAAGATGGTGTATAATTTTAAAAAGATAACCCTACTTAATGTTCCAACGCCTTTCAAGTATCAACAAATTTAAAATTTTTGCGAGAAATCGATATCGCTTCTCTGTGGAGTTTTTGACCTCCAGTAGCACTGTGGAGCTGTTTTTCCATGCTTGGTTCCCCATTTAGGCCCCATCCACACTATTGCGCTTTCGAATTAAAACAGAGACCTTTTGCTACGTTTGCACCTGCCGTCCAGACTAAAACCTAAAGGGTAATTTATACTTCTGCGTCGAATCGATGGCGTAGGCTACGGGGCTACGCAGAGGCTACGCCGTCACTTGACGTGCACCTCCTCAAAAATGTAACTACACGTCGAGTCGAAGCGGACCGTAAGCACTGTGATTGGTCGGCTGGGTAGCCTCGCAATACCTCCGAGCCGACCGGAAGTAGCCCGTGCTTTGAATAACTTTTACTAGCGGCCAAAACGGCAGCTGTAACACAGTGAATCAATATATTTGACCGTCGCAACCCGAGTGAAATGACTCGTTTCGCTATCAGAATGTGATCCATTCGCTCAGTAACATTTGAAAAGGCTACACCAGCCGCACGTATACAATTTTACCCACATTTACGTTAGCGGAGGGCTGGAAGTTAGCCTGCTCGGCCGGCAAAAGTCAACACGGTGGACGCTGCAGCGCTGCTGCCGACTAGCGTTTGGAGGTGTAATCGCAGAATGAAGGACACACCTACGCACAGGTATAAATGCATGGCTACATGCGTAACCTACAGCATAGGTACGCACGTAGACCCTACGCAGGACTATAAATGGGCCTTAAAACAGAGAAGTTTAGAAATGCTGCCGACCCCGGAGGGCGTTTAAGTGAAGATGGGCCAAAACGGAGGACTTTAGAAACGATGACGCAGATGCTCACGCTCGGCTCTCTGATTTGGTCTTGCAAAGCAGAAACCCGATGCTACTGACCAGGTTTTTGACATCGTATTTTTATAAAAATATTATGTACCGTGCAAATAACACTTATCTGCCTACACTTGTACTGTGCATGTCGCCGTTTCCTTTATGACGACTCCCAGTCAGTTTTCCGCGGCCACACTCCCGTGTTACATTCATTAACAGTCCCAGCTCGATATTGGTGCATGCAAAAAAAACTGGTCTGATGCTTTGTCTGTCCCAGTGTACCTGAACGGGCCCTAGCTGTGCGTTTTCAGTCGTTTTAATGTAGACGGAGATCAACTCCAAAACACAGCTATAATGCTGGTGTGGACGGAGATTGTATTCGTTTTAATTCTCTGTTTTTAAACTAAAACGGAGTAGTGTGGATGGGGCCTTAGTTTATCGAGCGCTCAGGAACATTCACGCATGCAGTAAAGTTTATTTGTATAGCACCTTTCAGAGATAAAAATCACAAAGTGCTTCACAATAAAATGTAAAACAATACAACATAGTAAAATACAATGCATAAGAAAATTTAAATACATATAGAAAATCTAGAACAAAACCATAAAAAACCCTCGTCTAACTAAAAGCCTGCTTGAATAGCAGACTTTTCAGTTGCTTTTTAAAAGAATCGAAAGAATTAAGACAACGTAGAAAGGGAGGCAATGCATTCCACAGCCTAGGTGCCACTGCTTGAAATGATCAATCCCCTCTGGTTTTAAAATGAGTGTAGGGAACCACTAACAGCCTCTGACCTGATGACCTCAGACTACGGGTCAGAGTATGAAGCTGTAACAGCTCAGCTATGTAGGGAGGAACTTGACCGTGCAGGGATCTAAAAGTAAGAACCAGGATTTTAAATTTAATTCTATGCTGGACTGGTAACCAGTGAAGTGCTGCCAAAACAGGTGTGATGTGCGCTCTTTGGTTAATGTGAGTAAAAAGCCTTGCAGCAGAGTTCTGAACAGCCTGGAGACGGTAAAGCTGCTTCTTGCTCAAACATGTAAAAAGACTGTTACAGTAATCTAAACGAGAGGAAATAAAAGCATGAATGATATTCTCTAACTCACCCTTTCGACACCCAGGTGTCAAAATACACATTCTTGCCACTTGACACTATTCCACTGATCAACAACAGGTGGTAACACGCCAAGATTTGCTGCAATGTGCCAGCAAAGACAGATGAAAGATGAATTGGTTAGCTAGCAGAGATGGATGTAAACAAAGCTGTATTTAAATACTTAAGAAAGGAAATTGCCTACAACACATTTGTTGTTGGTGAGTAACACATTGAATGTAAACACAATTTGTGTTGATGTGTTTTTTACAAGGAAACTGTAAGTGTCCCATTATGGGTTGAGAAAATGTTCCTGCTACCTTCAGGTTTTCACTGGACAGTGACATTATGGAATATCTAGTATATAATATGGGGTAAATAAAATATATGATTTAGCAAAAAGTGACCAGCCGTTATTTTCTTATAAAATATCCATATCAATGTCTGCCAATATATCGTTTTTGTGGAAGAAATATTGTGAGCCAGGTTCAGGTGTAAAGAAGTTTCAGAGACTGATGAAGACTTAACATAGCATGGTTTGAGCCCGGCCGAGGAGATACTGTGCCAGCGTATAACATGAACATGTCAAATGTCAACACCTTTTGGTCCCCTTTATGTTTCTGTCTTACCCCTGGAGCCTGTAGGTTTCCTGATTAGGTCATCTTTTGCTGACTTTGCTTAACCTAAAACAACAACTCTATCTGATGTTTAGACTCCAATGCTACGCTCATACTGGAATCTATCACTATCCATGAGTTGTACTCTAATCTGTGGAGCCAGTAAGATCTTGTAAACATTCTTGTAAGACTCAACCCTGTAAGATTCCCAGAGAACACCGACATCTGCTCACCTGACGCCTGAGCTACTGTCTCACCTTATCAGTCTGGCTGTTGTCTCCCTAACAAGGACAGTTACATGTGATAGAGAACTACAGCTGGAAGGGCAGTGAACACTTGTGGGGTCAGCTAATAAGTCCAAGCTAGACCTGTCTTACCTTTCCCTGTTACATCACTTAAGACCCCTAAGAATATTGTTTAACAGTTATCAAATTTTGTATCAATATCAGTAAAAACCTCAAAAATCAGTTTTGTGAAAGCATGGGATCCCTCAGCTGCTTTCCACCCATGAACATGGTCAGTTGTGATCTCTGGAGACTCTGGTTCAAACCGGAATAACTTCTGCTGGAAACTCAGGTCTCTGCAAATGTGGGCAACATTGCATGTAATATTATGAGGCTATCATTTAATACTTCAAAATAACTCTGAATAAACAACACTTAATGCTCCCACTGAAAACGAGCACCAGCACTCTAAGGGAAAAAACATCCTGAAATTCTCTTGCAGGACGGCCAGTACCAATCATGGAGAGAACAAGGCCGCAGACTTAGTTCCTTATCACGCAAAAATATTAAAAAATAAAAAATGTCCCACTGAGCTGTGAGACGGATAAAACAGGATTGCTTTGTGTTTGTTCAAACAATGACAAGTGTTTTGCATTTACCTGATAACACTCCTAATAAATCAAATATCAGTCTCTGAAGTTCTCTGCTTTCTTCTCTTGTTGTTTGGCAGATTTTCAAGGGCACAGTATTCTCATCCTCATCCAAAGAAAATAAAAAGCAAATTATAGACTTTTGGGGATTAATTGTTTTTGCTATTTAGCTCAAAATACAAAGGCCTCTACAAAGGACTTGTTAACCAAAATAACACTTTTACTTGTAATATTTTTACCACTACCCTTTCTCATGCCAACAATTAAATTAAATTCCCTGTTGAAAAGAATCTGAAGTGTTTGCTGAACAAGCGGATGCAGAGATTGTGGTATTATGTAGAGGAAAGAGAAATAAAATGCTGTCTAAAGATAGCATTTCTTACATTTTTATGCCTCTGAGACTGGTGCTACCAGTAATTCAAATTTGAGTTTGATAATTGTGGAGGTCAATTCGTATTTACAGGGTTAGAATAGTTCACCATTTTGGAACGTTCTTGCTGAGAGCTGGATTAGAAAGTCAAAACCGCTCTCATTACTACAAATATGAAGCTACCGCTAGCAGCTAGTTAGCTTAGTTTAAACTACAATGTATTTTTGTCCAGATTAAATGAGCAACGGATAACGTAGCTAGCAGCTTTGTTAAGCACAAAGAGCCAGGCTAGCTGTTTACCCCTGTTTCCAGAAGACGAGGAAACAAAACATCCACCTTAGCTGCAACTCTAAATCTAATTAACAAGTTATATATATTTTATTTAATATGGACCAAACCCAATGTGGAAAAACAACAACTTGTGGCTTAAGCTAACAGGCCGCTGGTGGTAGCTTGATATTTACCCTACACACATAAGATTGATATCAGTGTTTTTGTCTAACTGTTTGCAATGAAAGCGAGTAAGAAAATTTGACCCAAAATGACTAACTGTTCCTGTAAATCCTCAATAAACAGCCCCTAGGAAGAGCATGGGACGTTTGTGTGCGCTGTGACAAAATCTTGCATTATTTACTAATTACTTATTGTACAGGTAACTAGTTAGCTTGCTGTCCAAAAGTCAACTGTTTCTTTAGTTGAAGTTCTGTTTTTGTTAGTGTCTTTCTTTCTTTCTCTCTCTATATATCAATTATTTGAGCACAACCAATTGTGCATGACAAAAGTGCCAGATGTTGTCGCTAGGAGATTTTTGACTCAGCTGCCGAGCCTTATATCTTTCTGTACTTTCTCTTTGTGTGTGTGATGTTGCCACAGAAGAGATTATGGCAGAGCTTTCGAGTCCCTTAGCCCAGTTTTTCTGTGTGCTCTAAAACTGATTGTATAGATGAAGAATGGCAGGAACTCTGTGTCTGCTTTTTCTCACTTTGTGTGTGAAACACTTCTCTCAGTGGAATCTGATTTGTTTGCTTGTAGACCAAATTTATGTAAAGCTTGATGACCACTGACGCTAGTGTTTATGCCTCACTTGCCTCCCTTGTTTAAACCACCATTAGTAAGCCAGTGACACAAAAACTATATCCATGTTTTCTATTACAACACGGAAATGCTGTTAACTCCACTACTGTACTGTTCCTTCACATCTTCTTTCCAATGTATGTATATTTGAAAAGAGTGGTCAGATATGTCAAGACATATCGTGCAGTGTATTATTTGCCATGATTGACTTAAAGATAAATACGGAGAACGGAGACCTTTCAGTGACGAGTAATGAATGTGTCGAGTTTTATGGCGAAAAGCTTCTAAGTGCTCATGCTTTTGATAGAGATTGAACAACTGCAAATGTCAAATGTCCCCAACAGCATTTCTTTTCATTAGCACAGTACATGTTGCTGTTTTAATGTATACAGTTTTGGAGCATGCATTTCCTACAACTTGTGGCTCTTTCCCCTTCCACCAGCTGTCTCCACGCATACGGAGGGTGAGGACAAGATCCAAGTCCTGCTGATGGTGGAGGGCAGAAGGTATGTCAGTCTTTGAAAAGAGGTGTGCTAATTGGCAACGTATTTGTGAGACAGCAACATGCATTATGCAACAATTTTAACAACTTTGGTTTGGCCTTTGTCTTGTTAGTCCAAATGCACTTTACCTACTGTATCCATCCGAGGTAATTAACGGCTTGCTAGACTCCCTGCTGCTGACGAGGTGAGATGGCATGTAACGCGAGCCAACAGTTTCTTACATCTTTACGAGTAGTGCAACAAGACTTTGTGTTTTTCTCAGTTAATTGCTCTTCATTTGTGTGTTTTTGATCAAACCTCGTGGGAAACTGGTGGTCGTTTATAGGTGTGTGTTCTGCAGAAACACTTTTGGATTCCTTTTAATCTTGTTGGTTGTTTATTTAATGACTTAGCAGTGCTTTCCCAAACACATGGAACAACACTATATTGTTGCTGGAAATGATCTCATGATGTACTTCATTAATAATCACTCCCCCCTTCTACCCTCTGTCTCTAATAGAACAGTTTACATCCATGGCTTCAACAAGATGGACTTTGCACTGTGGCACTCCTCCATCACGTTGGCTGCTGGCACAGATGGCAAGGCGCTCAGCGACCAACAGCTGACTAAAAATGGTGTCCCTATTATTGTTGAAAGTTGCATCGCTTTTGTCACTCAGTATGGTAAGTTTATATTATATTTACGGGGGACTTTTTTTTTTTTTAAGTTCTGCGTGACTGTTATTATGATTTTCCCCTCGAGGAGCTGATTCATCCAATATACTGCATCGTGATGAGAATTTCATGCTTTCTAATGTTGCCGAGCATATTGCTGTGACATTACCCCTTCACTCTCTTTCACTGTATTTTTTCTTTTAGAAATGTAGAAAATGTAGTCCAGCTTTTCACTGCACTATTACTGTGGGATCCAAAGTTATTTGCAAAATGTAAACATACACTTGCACAAAATCTGCATGACATAGTGCCTCATGCTTGATCAAATACCATCATATGCAGTGTAATGACAGATCGGCAAAGTTAACTCTGACTGAAACTTTAAAGTGGTACAGAAGGTTAATATACCTTGCAATGGCAATTTTATTCCACCTGCAATTTAGATTCAAATGTGCTTACGCAACGTTGTTAAATCCCACAAGTTGGCTTCTATAAGGTTTGTTATTGCCCTATAATTGTATTTAGTTACATAAAAAACTGTATATACTGTCATTTGCTGCTGCAGACGCTACACATTAGAGGGTGTGCAGAAGTCACAAAGTAATGAGCCGAGCCAGTCTTGGGTGTAGGAGCCAGTCAGTGTATTTATTTAATCACCCATCTATCCCTCCCACTCTTTTTAACAAAAACTTTGTAACCAGGTTTGTGCCAGGAGGGGGTCTACCAGAGGTCAGGCGACCCTGGTCGAGTGGCCCACCTCCTGGATGATTTCACCCGGGATGCCCGTAATGTGAAGCTGAGGGAGAAGGAGCACCATCTGGGGGATGTGACGGACACCCTGAAAAGATTCTTATCCCAAGCAGAGGATGCACTGTTGACCAAGGAGCTCTATCCATACTGGGTGTCAGTTTTGGGTATGTGACGTGTCTGATTTGGGGGGGAATTTGCCAATGTCAAAGATAAACACACTGGACACAGTATGGGTATATTCTAGTAATCCGTGGTGATCAGATCCAAATTGTTTTCTCTACTGTGTTTATGACTTAAGAATGGAATTGTTTTTCATAGTTACTTTTTTTTCATCTGCCACAAGAGGCTGAAGTGCACCACTACCCCATGTTCTAACAGGATCATCAAATTATCCTGACCAAACTTTTTTACCCACCTGTTTCACAAATTTAACCTTTTCTTAAGTCATAAACACAGGATGGAAAGCAATTTAGATCAGACTTAGGAAAATTATCACTCAATTTTCTTCTCACTTCTCCACTCAGGGTAATTATTTCATAATCACACCTTGACAAAATATGAAAAGTTCAAATGTGCTTCACAAGTGATTTAAAAAGTTCAGTATAAACCTGCTTTCCATTGTGTCCATGGTCATGTCGGGCATGTTTGCGATTTACAGCAGTTCTCATCTGTGTGGGTTTGTAGATGAGAGGGACGAGAGGCAGAGAGTAAAGAAGTACTCCACTTTCATTGAGAGTTTGCCAAAGATAAACAGGTCAACTCTTGATGCTCTGCTTCAACATCTGTACAGGTAAACACGCACACACACACACACACACACACACACACACACACACACACACACACACACACACAAGCTCACACACACACACAAGCTCACACACAAGCTTCAAACGGCACATATTTCATGCTTGTACCAGTGAGGCTATTTCAAGGTCAAGGTTGCTGTCAGGATGAAGTTTATTACCCTGAAGGAGAAAAGCATGCGGTCAAGTGTGTTAAAAACTTCAAAAACAGGACATGAAGTCATGGAGTCTTTGGCAGTTTGTAAATCAGAGCTTTTTTTTCTTGTCTCTTCCATTAACCCCTCAAATTTATCTTGTGCTTGTAAAAGTGGCTCCACCCCTGCTTAAGTGTTTATGCAACAGTATTAACCATCTAATAACGTCATTTGGTAATAATATATGATTCACAGGGGACATATTACTGCAGAACCAGAACTTTGACTTTGATACTGACATATGTACTTTAAATTAAGTGGGATTTATCTTATCCATACGACTGCTGGTTGGATGAATGTGATACATATATGAAGATGGAGCAGAGTGCTTTGTTTATGCAGGGCCACTACTTTTACCAAATTAGGCATTATAACCCATTAAAACAGCAATAACGGCTCTTGTCTTCAGACGTAAGCTCGAAGGTCCTGCACCTGGAGCAGCTATAGGGTAGCGATATGTCACCTGCTGATTAGCCTGGTGGCTCCTCTGCTCTGCTTAATGACCAACACTGCCCTCTGTTGTGTGTGTGTGTGTGTGTGTGTGTGTGTGTGTGTGTGTGATATATATATATTTTTTCTTCTGACCAGTCAAGTAGGATAATTTCTAGTCAGATCTCGGATTTGGTCCGAGATGCTGTACTGAATGAGGAATGTGTATGGTGAAATTTAAATTTGTTTTTGTCAGTGAAGTAGCAGTGTCCTTGAATTGTAAATTATGAATAATCCTATATTGTTTGTACCATTTATTGGCATTTTGCAAGTAAAAACAGACCTAGTGGCTCATTATTAAAAATTCAGGCAATTAGCAAACACATAGTTGAATTCCATGTCACAAGTGTTGCTATTTTTTTTCCCTTTTTGAAAATTGTGTATTTCACATGTATTCCTAGGCAGTCATTTCTTATAATGTTGATGATTTTTCAGTCTTGTGGATAATGTGAGCAGTCAGCTTTATGTGTAGAGATGTCTAGTAATAAACCACAGGCTGCAAGTTTCTCCTGAACCTACCGGTATGCACTGAAACAATAATACTTACATTCACATGCACTCTAGTTGCATTTCGATACATAGACTCGGCTGTTTTGATGTCTCACTCACTGATACTCACATTACACATTGTTCCCCCAGAAACCTGCAGTGGATGGTTGTGATTTAGCCGCATTATGTTAATGATGTAGATTGTTTGGAGAAGACTTAATTGGCCTGTTGCTGATTTTGGACTGAGCCCTAACATTTCACTAAATTGTGTGTGCTTGTGTATGAGTTTACAGTATATGTGAGCATGAGAGGCAAGAGGAATGAGCTGTTTGTGTTGATTTGTGTGTGTGTCTGTGTGTGTTTGTGCTTGTGCAGGTGCATTTGTGTTCTTTTAACCATGTTTTCTCTCTGTGTTTCAGGATTCAGCAGTGCTCCCACCTCAACCACATGCCGAGTGAAAAACTGGCCTCTGTCTTCTCCTCCTGCTTGTTCCAGACTCGGGGACAAAACCCACAGGAAGCTAACGTTGTCAACGACCTCATCAGCAACTACATTACACTCTTCAGTGTAAGTGGAAAATGTTTTATTTATTTATTATTTGCCCTTTGACAGTGTTGATAGGAACTGTTTGGGAGACAATAAGTAGGGTGATGAAAGGCCTGAACTCAACATAGCATGCAATTGTTATTGCATAAACATTACGTAATTCATCATAAAGTTAAAAAAAAAAAGTATATCACAGACAAATATCCAACCTGCCTGCTTTAAATCCTGCATGGTTACCAGGCATGGCAAACCAGTAGGTTAATTAAATGTTAGCTGGGCAGCTGTTACAGTGAACAGTCAAACACAGAAACCAATGTCTTTGCCTGTTGCTCTGCACACGACGACAGCACACATCTCCAGAAACACAGAGATTATACTCAAAAAACAGGTCACCTAGAACAAAAAATACCAAAGGAACCTTGTTCAGGACATCTTTCGCTTGAGGCGAAATGAGGCCAGGCTTATCACTCTGAGTTTGTTCTTAATGTGTGGAGTAATTTTATAGAAAAATATATCTTAATGATAAAAAAAGAGAGAGAAAGATTAGATTTCTTTCCCTTTTGTCTGAACAGTCTGAATTTCTTTGTCTTTGCTGCTGTTACATGAAACTATTTTAATCTACTAAATGCTTCATCTGGTGTACTTTGTAATTTTATACAAAACAATGGCATGTAAAAACTTTTGATTTTCCATGCCCATCCAAAAAAATAAATAAATAAAAAATAATCTTGGAAGCATTTTGTCTGACAAATTGTTTGAAAAACTCTATGCCTGTGATATGAGATGAGAAAAAAAATTAAATTAAAAATGAATGCTGAACACCCACAGAATGGGTCAAGCTCCAAAAACGTACAATCCTACATTTCCCATAATGTATCTCGATAGCATCTTTTGTTACAGACCCCCCCCCAGTGTTTCAGGCAGGTTTTCAATTTTAAAAATTCTGCAAAATCTCCAAGCCCAATCTGAGGTGACCCTGATGACATCATAAAGGGTTATTTGGTCAGACTTGAGAAAGCTCCCTCCGGATTCTTAGAAGGGATTATACAAATTGGTGGGGTGCCACTTTAAAAGATTTATATTTGAATTTTTTAATGAATCGGACTTTTGAAGGTGTACAGACCAAAACGCCATTACTAAATTAATTGAACACAAGTGACTATAGCCCAACCGATAAATCGTCGTGCTGATATTATTGGACGATATAACCGATATGAGCTAATGGCAAATAGATCGGTTTCAGTGTTTATAACAGCTGATAAATGACAATTAAAAAGAAACCGAGAGACCGATCCTTCAGTCATGTTATGAGTGTTGTCGTTGCGTGGTTTGTCAACTAGAGGGCATTCTGCAACTCCCCTGTTGGAAGTATTATTTATAACATTCAAAAAGCTTTTTAAATTGCATTATGTTATCTTGGTGAGCTCTCTAAACTACATATAATAAATATTAAGGTTAAATCTTTATGTTTTGTGTTTCTGAAAAGACAAATTTTAAAAATATGAAAATGAAAGTGACCAATGGTGTGCAAGATTTCTGTTTCTTTCTCAATAATGTACATTAAAAAAGAAACAAAATGTATACATAACTGTACCACTACCATCCAAAATTGAAAATATACATGTTCTATAAACTGCAAGTGTTATTTGTAGGCCAAATCATCCCTGAGGTATTTCTGCTTATAACTATATTATAATGTATAACTGTAAGAAAGGTGTAGTACATGTAGTCGAATGCAGCCAGCCTGGTAGATTTAGGGTGACTCTCCAATCAATGGCAGATGAAAAAAAATTACATCATTTAAAGCATTTCTATATTACCATATCGCATGTTTAAACCATGCTGCAGGCATGCCTTTATTTATATTCTCTTACTTCAACCATCTGGGGAGCAGCACTGTTGTTGCCAAATCTCCACAATAGGCTTGACTTTGCTGATGTGTGGATGGGTGGGGGTGTGGGATCAATGTTACCCTTGGAGAGCTGCCTGGCTTATGGGATACACAGCACAGAGCGACTGCTAATTCCCAGCAGAACGCCTGGATCCCCCTTGTTCTGACGTTAAAGGAGGAGCATTCACTCCAAATCAGTTCGGGACGCCATCATTCGCATGACAAATAGCCATTAAGCTCAACCAATCATGAGCCCAATAGCGGTGAATACACACGCTGAGACATAAAACGAGTGAGACATCTCGCTAATTAAAGCGCCAGTTATGTGCTGGGTGTCTTCGACGGGGCCCATTATCAGGCCTAAACACACACACAATGAGTTTGTGAGTTTTTTTTTTCTCCCCCAATCTTCTCTGCCATTCGTATAACTCTAACAAAGCAAATTGTTCTCTGAAAATGATAATGATGTTAAAAAAAAGTTGGAATATCATTTCCCACACAGAGCTTTGTGAAAGAAAAGAGTATTCACTTGGCGCTGAGCTGTGTCAAATACTCACAACCAACTTCCTTCTTCAAAATTTGTTTTATAAGTGTTAACTCAACGACCCAATTCCACAGTTTGCTTATGTTTTTTTTTTTTATTGGTCTAATCTAGTCTTCCATGTACTGTATTAAGTGCTGAAATTAAAATTACCTTCAAAAAAATGGTTTTATAATTCGGTCAAACAATTAAATGTTTCTCAAGTGCAGTTTATGTGATCAGAAAGTTTCTCATTGGCGGAGTTTGAATTGATGTGTGTGTCGTGTGTGTGTGTGTGTGTGTGTGTTATTGTGATGTTCCCAACAGGTCAACGAAGACCGGCTGCAACAGATGGAGAGAGAGAATAGTTTCATCACACGCTGGAACGACAAGAAGGACGCCACAGTAAGTCGACCCGCCGAAACCCAAATGGAAATCACCAACAGGTGTTCTGTTTGTGTGTGTGTGTGTGTGTGTGTGTGTGTGTGTGTGTGTGTGTGGGTATGGGTATTGATTTGCCTGCATGTGTCAGAGTCCCTCAAATCAGGGATTCATTTGAACAATTTTCCTGTTTTTCTGGCAAAAATGAATGGGATGGGGGGTAGTGGAAGGTGAAGGAGGCAGGAGCAGGCGGGTGAGGAAAAAGGGCTTTGTTCTTGTTAACCTTTACGGCAGGTACTTTCTGCCTGGATGCCTCAGCCGAGAAAAACATTTGGTTCAGATAACTGGGGGGAAAAATTAAATCTGCGGTTGTTGAAATCTGAAATAACTTGTTTACGCTCGCTCATTTCAACCCCCCCCACCCCTTTCTCTGAACCTAGTCCGTAGGCTTTCAGAGCACGTCTGCTGCTGTGGGGCAGGAGGGTCACTCAGTGGAAAGCCTGTGCTATTATGAAGTTGTCTGAGGTGAAAATTGGGACATATTCGTTATGGACACACAGTTTAGGGTTTTTTTAGGGTTTAAAACGATGGTAGAAAAATAGAAATGTTACTGGTTTTTCATTAAAACAATCATTTAGTATAATTACAAGTCAGCATGGTGAAAGTGTTTCTGTTGAGATAATGATTTAACATTTTACCAAAGTTAAACATTGCTTTAAGTCATTAAAATGTCACATCAGTCATCTCCTTTTACATACCACTTAATCGTTTGGTCTTATTTTCATAGGTTGGGCTATCATTTCTGTAAAACATGAACTGTTCTGTAGAACATTTCACTCACTGGCTTCGACGTAGAGGCCACTGTTAGACATGGCTTTACGGCGATGTCTGCAGGAGCTGTGGAACACAAGCTCCAGAGCGAGTGACTCCAGTTAATTTATCCACCAATGCGGAAATTAAAGTGAAGCCAAAGTAACTTGAAATAGCCATTATATTCATCCCCTGCTGCTTTCTGGTAGCTCTCAACCTGAAGAAATGAGAAAAAAAACTTGGTAAAAATGTAATTTCCCACCCACAGACATATAAAGGGTGTACTTACAGGGGTTATGTATGCATGCAGTTTATTTATAGTGGTATGTGGCTCAGGTTTATATAAGCTATCATGTGAGAAAGTGCTTCAGTGGCTTTTTATTCAGTCGACTATTGGAAAGATGTAAAGTGTATCTTTTTAGGTCTAAGTTGTTAGACAGAGCAAAAAATACATTTTCCTTTTAACATTCATTGTATTTTCAATAACAGCCTAAAATGAAGATGTTGTTGGATGGCTGTGAAAACGTGTCTCAGACCATCAACATTAATCCTGTAGAATTTTGTCAACAAAATCAGGGATGTCTGCGCTGTTTTTTTGTTGTTGTTGTTGTTGCTTTTAAAATGGCTTCACTTCTTTCATTGTGCAAAATGAAGCAAACTGATATCTGGCCTGGTCATTTTTTCTTTTAAGATAGAGAGTCTGAAGCTGTTCCAGCAGCTCAGTTAAACTGTACTTGTGGTATTTGTAGCCAAATGTTAACATGTTTAGAATGGCAATGCTTACATTCAGCAATGTTTAGCATTCAGTGTAAGCATGTTAGCAGGTGATGTGTGCTAATTAGCACAGCTGAGGCTGATGGGAATGTTACTAATTTGGAAGGTTTTTGGTTGTAAACCAAATTTTGACCTGATTATGGGACAAGATGAAAGTTAAAGGATCACCAAAGTTTTTAGAGATCATCCTGATCAGCATGAAGTCTTTACCAATTTCCATCCATCTAATAGTTTTTTAGAGATTCCACTCAAAACCACAAATGTCAACCTCATGTTAGAGCTAGAAGAAAAGTCAGGGAGTCCGGAAAGTCAGAACAGATGTATCCACGAATGGCTGTGCAAATGTTCATTGTATTCCAGCAGCTGAGATGTTTCAGTCCAGACCAAAGTGGAGGACCAACCGACTGACCTTACCATCCCTCGACCCACGACGCTAGCATTACTAAAAACATGCAAATTTCAGACTCTGGTCCATTTAAGATGATAAGATTTAGAAACAAACATGGAGGAAAGTATAGGTAGGCTTTTGACATTTGCAGGAAGCTTGTCTCAAAGGGTTCGGGCGCTGCAGGTGAGCGTTCTGGCCTCATGTGTTTCCTTTTTAGAGGCAAAGAATGTCAGGGAGGACTGCACCCTTGAAGGGAAAGTATGGCTAGACTGGGGGAGCAAGTAAATCAGTGATATAATGAGGTGCAAGGCAATGTCATGCCTTGTAAGTTATAAGTGGCACTCTAAAATCAATACTTGCATTTACAGCCAGGGTGAGTGCAGAGAGAGAGTATGACTTTAGTAAAGATTAGAAAACCCTTCATTTTGAATAGAACATCACTGTCTTTCTTACTTGTTGCTGACAAATTTCCCCATCAGCTGCAAAACCATTTAACACTTCTTTTTGTTGCACTTTGCTTACATCCTTTTCCATCATTTCCTTTCCCCCCTTTTTATTTATTTCCTAGATTTATGTCTTTCTTTTTTATTCAGAAAATGTTTGTAAAGTGTGGTCTTCCTCCCATCACAAAACAATGAAGGGGAAGAAGGAAGATTGTACTTAGCAAAGCAAGTTGGCTCTGTATCTGTGCGTGACATTTTCACAATTACAGCGTTTGTTCCATTTGTTTGAATGACTGTAATTACTATGTCATTTTAGGGCCATGGGGGTCAAAGTGGCTTCCTCCCTCACATCATGCAATAGCTCTCCCAGCTCGAGCCAATAATGGACCTCAGTTCACCTGCACATTAAAATGACAAGGGAAAAGTAACTGTAATTTCTGTACTAGCCAAGGGAAAAGAAACCTTTTCGTGCTCACTAAGTTGTTAATTTTCTAGAGATGGATTTCCACTTGCCAGAAATTCGGATTTGGTGATCAAACTATCTCCTTCAAAATCTACATCTCTCTATCTCTCTCAATGTCTCTGGCTTTACCACCCCGAAATATATTTTTTAATTGGATACAGAGAATTACAGCTTCAACACTTGGAGAAAGGTGCTATGATTTGTAATGACAACAACAATACTGGAATTTGACCTCCTGAATGTCAGACAGAAAGTATCTGAAAAGTCTCCCTTTTAATTTCACATAGGTTACAAAAGAAATATTTTCTCTTTTGCCTTCTATCTATCGATCTGTAAGTGAAACATTCAGACAGCACCAATGGAGGATTATCTTGATTTATGTTCTTCACGGCCACTATCTACCTTTGCTCTTAAATTCAGTATGTCTATTTTAAGTTTGAGTGTAATTCTTTTTTTAAATGTATTTTCTATAGCTATCTTGCAAAGGTTTAGACAAGAAGATCACTCTCATGCCTAAGCGCTAAGTATGGAGCTGTAGCAAGCTACCTTAAGTTTAGCTTAATTTAGCTTACTGTAACATAAAGACTGGAAGCAGGAGAAATAGCTAACTTGGCTTTGTTCAAAGTAAAACAAATATTCCCTCTCTAAGTTTAGGTTAACTTAAAATCTCTAAAGCTTTAGCCTACACTAGTGATAAACATGACGAATCTTGTTTGTTTAATACATACACAAGCAGAAATGTAAAAACACCAAATCCACAGTTACAGAGCGGTTAAATTAGGGTGACCAGACGTCCCCGAAGTTGAACTGTGTGTTAATCATAGACTGTATAAGGTGTTAACAGACCTGAAATCAGATTTTACCATAGACTGTATGAATTTTACGTGGCCAGATAGACTGCCGTCCGTGGGGGCGCGCGGGCAGCATGTTAAAGCTGTATCGCCCCATCTTTACGTCTACAGCTGCTTTTATCTGAGTCAAACAGACATAACGTGCAAATAAACATCACTATATGTCCGTGGTAATAGCAAGGGTATGTCTTTGTGATACTTGCGTATCTTTTAACGGAATAATAACAGTTTTGGCCAAAAAATATTTGCAGTTTATAGTGTAATCAGGCGTGACATTTATGTGATTAGAGGCAATAATAGAAACCTGTTGTTGCCGATGGAGTATGTGTTTGGTAGGCCTATGTCCAATATCCTTGTTAATTATCCTTGTCTTATGTCTCTACATTATTTAACTTGCTGTGTACCAACCAATCCAGTCCTTTTTACCTTTTGAAATACCTTTTAAATAGCCGATGCAACCCATGTAATGCAGTTTTCCACTTGCCAGAAAATGAAGATATTTCTGCCTCAAAATGACTTGATACCACTTACAGTCTTTATGTTAGGCTTAGCTAATCGCCTGGCTCTTGCTTCATACTTAACGGACTATACTTAATGCTCTGCAAGAAAGCAAATTAGTATATTGATGGTTTAGCCTAATAGGTTGACACAAAAGCTTAGAATCTTCCAATCAAATTCCTTATAGTCTAATAATTTAAGATCTGATTTACAGAAAAGCAACAATTTGTAAAGGTTTTATCATTGGATAGAAATATTTTCTTTCTTATACTTAGATAAAGATTGAGAAAGGACTGTTACAGTGAACCCTTATCTCTCTCTCTGCATTTTTTCACATTACAATAATAACCGCTGAACATTTTTCTAGGTGCATTTTCAAAACACTTTTAAACTGACAGCACACTTAACGTTAACACCTGAGGCACGCATATCAGTTTCAGTGTAGGTGAAACATGCACCCTGCGCTTCCACCTTTACAAGTTTGTCTCACAGATGTTCTCTTTATTTAGCCGGGGTTTACATTCCATTAACGCTACTGGGATTTAGTTTGCCTCCAGCTCAGAAATTGACCTTTGGTTTCCTCAAATCCTCTAACCATTTCTCTCACTTTTTCTCAATTTAGATTCATGCCACACTGGGGTACGAATTTAGAAGAAAAGCCAATTAATCCAGCTGCATTGTTTTTGTAATTCAACTGATCTCCCTGTCTCGCTCTCCTTCCCCCCTTGCTTTCTTTCTCCCCTCCCATAGTTCTCTCCAGCTGGGGATTTGATCTTCGAAGTGTACCTGATAAAGAGACAACCAGAGAACTGCTGTTTAATAAAGGTATAAGTGTGTGTGTGTTTTTAATATGTGCATCTGTACTTTAAGCAGACATGCGGGCATGTGAGTCTGTGTGTACGCCGTGTTTTCCCAAAGGGTGAAATAAGAAGAAGTGGGAGGAGAGAAAGAGAGTGGGATGAAGGCAGCTGAAGCAGGAGAAGGAATGAGGGCTGATGGTGGGTAGAAAGAGAGGTGGAGAGGTTGATAGAATAGGGCTGAGACAATCGTGATTTAACCTGATGGCATAACCGCCACTGAAATAAATCAGAAGCGAACTAATCAAAGAAACGCCTGATTTAATTGTGTGAGTAATTGCATTTTACAAGGCGCGCATGCCGCTGTAGGTTACGGACTCCTTTCACGGGCCGGCGGCAGCGCTAGAATAGGGATGAGGTTAAAGAGGAGAGCTCAGGACCGCAGTTTGACTTTAATACTCCGCTTTCTCTCTGTGGAGTAAAGCATGTTCGTGGTTGACAAAGAAGCCAGTATGTAATCAGTGCACCGTGTTGCGAGTCAGATATCTGTGCAGTTAGTGTTACATGTTACATACAAATATTGAATTGCTCTTCATGGGGAAAGATGGTTGAGAGCAGTGATATTGATCCAGAGTGCTTATGATCTGAGCTTTTATATGCAGGATGTGCTTAGATCATTTCTTTGTTGTTTGTTTAGGAATGTATTTATCTTGTTGTGTTTGCGGTAGGTCTCTCCCAGTATGCGGCCCACGGAACTTGCAGAAACTGCGCTGAGCATGAGGAACATCGCTTTTAACGCTGATGACTTCTGGACCACCTTTGAAGTCATTGAGAATGGAGAGTTAGGTAGGCACACTTATTCAAATCACAAAGCATCCCGACAACACCGCATTTCAAACACTGATGTATCATTATCTCCATGAGTGCTGGTCAAAATTAGGTCAAAGTGTTCAACAGGGCTGTTGCAACCCCAAAGGGTCACAGGATTTCCTTTTTCTTCATTTTTTCTTTTTCTTAATCTTATTCATCTTATTTTTTATAGTCTATAATACAAATACAAAAATTTCTACAGAGGGGAAACATCTGAGGGGTCAGTATTCAACCCAGCATAACGTTTTTGATGCTTGCAAGTTACAGTCAAAAGCAAATGCTTCACTTTTAAGGTTCACAAGCCAAATAAGTTTTGAAATACTACTAGAGACGAATACATTTCCTGCCTGCAGTGATTACTGGTACCTTTTTTTTTTAAAGATAATTTTTTTGTTATTTGTGCTTTAATTATTGATTGGCAACAAAGTGCCCCACAGAAAACTATAATAAAGTGGACTCATTCGTATGAAATTGCACAAAATGTTGAATGTCGTTGTTTTTTGTTTGTTTGTTTTTAATTCCAGCAATATTTGCTTGTTGCGGCGAAACTGTAATTACAGTATGATTAAGCCTTGCTTTAACAGAGTTATAGTCCATTTCAAAGTTCTCATGCTTAAGTTTTCACACATGTGCCTCCTCAGTCAACTTGAACCAAGCGAACTCCGTTGCACTGTGATGCAGTGTAATCATGACTGAAACTGAAACATGCTTTTCTTAACCTCACACAGATCAGGCTTGCACAAAGAAACTCTTCACTAATTACCATCTCTTACAATCCATTTGAAGAAATAAAGATTTTATTTTAATCAACCAGAAGAGCGTCTTCAGTAACACATTCTGGATTTTTTCTTTTGTTAGACAGAATGGTCAAGAAGTCATTCTTAAGTAGTTCTTAAGTTGATGTGCTCAACTCACAAAGGCCTGGCAAATGTGTGTTATTCTCCTCTGCCATTGTAGTTTTGTCGTAATATCACTTCATCAATTCATATATTCTCTCAGTCCCGGTTCGCTTAAATTACCAACTACTATCAGCTGTGGCCCTAACTATTGCATGTGCACTTCTTCATTGAACCCTGTCAATTTTAACCACACAGGTGGTGATGGAGCAATAGATAAGATACATGCTTTTGGTGTGAGAGACCCGGGTTCGATTCCCACTGTAACCTATCCACCATTGTGTTCCTGAGCGACACACTTAACCCAACGTTGCTCCAGAGGCGTGCGACCTCTGACATGTATAGCAATTGTAAGTCGCTTTGGATAAAAGTGTCAGCTAAATGTTTTGTTGTTTTCTTATCATCAGATGCTAACTTGACAGGTTCCTGTTGCATGATAAAGACTGAATGAAGCTGTTTTCTGTAATGATTTTGGAGTAAAATATGACCATCATTTCAAAACTTAAATTTAAGGTTACCCTGCTGTCAAATCCCACATCTTAAGTAAAGTAAAGTTAAGTAAGAAGTAAAAGTCCTCTCTCTTCTGTCATCTACACTATATCCAACTAGTGACTGATACATCATCTCACCATTTAAATGTCTACTATCATCCAGGGCATATACAAAGATTACACCTCTTCTCATCCAGGGACCTCGTGATTAGAAGGTTATGCTATCTCTCTAATGAACCAGTGTATGTGAACATGGAAGCACACTGACAAATTAGCCAAGCATCGTCAATTTGATGATATGCACATTAATTAATCATCCATTACCATCATTTGTCATAAATTACCTCCATCTTCCTTGCATGACCACCATAGGGAGCTGACCCACCTCACCTTGCATTAATATGCACTGATGGCGTCTTGTGCCTCACACACCCACATTTGATCATACCGCACGCAGGAAGCGGCGAGTAGGGGGGAAGTCAAAGTTGAGTTTCGTTGCAAAGTTGCTTGGCTGGCGGTCCCCGCGCACTTTTCATCAGTTCACTCAGAGTTTACAACGCGCTCTTCTGTTTGTTTTTCTCCTCACAAAGTTACAGAGGACACGCTGTCCTCTTCTAAAACTGAAGGTGTGTTGAATACTGAATATATTTGCTGACGGTTCAGCATATTTTCCATGGCAAGACAATATGTCTGTGGCAGAGTAAACAGTCAAGCTATTTTGAAGGCGGTAGCGTGACAGGTTTTGCTCATAAAACTAAAAAGAAGGGAGGGAAGGTGCGTTAATTAGCCATTTTAGAGGATAGCTACAGATAAACACCGTTATCGAGGACAATAGGCAGAAAAGGGGAGCTAATATTTGTTGGGAAATGAGGAACTAATTCCATGGCCTGGGTCTGCAGAGATTCCAGGGAGAAGATAAGCCCACTGTTATGAATAAGTTATGCCATTGTGGCTCTTTTTACCTCCTTTGGTTATGAAAAACAGGGGAGTGTAGAGATGGAGGCATCAGAGCAGGGGGGTGGTACACAAATTATCTACATTTTCTTTGGCTGATAGCATGTACCCTGTTCACCAATTAGGAAGAGATAATAGGTCTATTTTGCACATGAGTGTGTTTTTATAATCAGGCCCTGATATGCTGGGGATAATTTACACTGCTCTGATGAAAATGGGGTGAACAAAAACATCATTTTGTAATTTGGTTAACTAGAATTGGTCATAGATTTTATGAGGTTGTGATTTTATTTCATGTATTTTTTTTATTTATGTATGGCCAGAAGTTTTGTATGACCATTGCTATTTCCTAGTAGATTTACCTGGCAATCATGCCTCTTCCTCTAACCCAATGTCTTTTGTTGTTTTCAACAGAGCGACCGTTGCACCACAGCGAAAAAATTCTTGAGCAGGTGCTGGAATGGAGTACCTTGGACTGTCCCAGCTCTGCTTTTCTTGTCATAAAGAAGTTTTCAGGGGCCAAAAGAGTTGCTGATGGGAAAGGTACAGGAAGCAGTTAATGGTACAACCGTTAAAAATGTTGTCCATCAATGAGACATTTTTTTTTTAAACAGTATGTTTGCTGTTTTGTATGTGTAATGATCATTGTTAAAGCGTCATTGTTAACTGTAGGACAATAGTTAGTTGAAATAGTTGCCATTAGCTGAAAGTAATGGATAAATAGTGAAATAGCTAAAAGAAATGGATAAATGGTTGAAACAGCTAAAAATAATACACAATAACAACACATCCAGCTTCTGTGGACGCATTTCTTCAATTGTGTGAAAAAATATATTGTAACAATATTCATTTTCAAATCAATTCAAATGAAAAAATTTGGAACATGACTTGTGGTGTCAATGAAGGGGTACTCAAATTACTTGTTTTATCCAAACATTGATCCAAAACCCAGAGACTTTTCAGTTTGCAGAGACTTTTCAGTTTGCAATGATATAAAACTGAAAAAGCAGCCAAACCATCACCTTTGAAAAGCTAATTGTTTACTTCATAAATGACTTACATTATTAAGCAGATATCAAAATAGATGTTGATCAAAGCATTTATCCACTGTGGGCTGATGTGGGCTGAAAATATTCCTCTTTAATCGATTTCATTGTGTTTTGAAGCAGAGCAAAGGCCGATCATAAAAGGCGACTATCTGAAGTTCACTGATGGATCCTCCAAACTGCTGTCAGGGCACAAATTCCAGGATAAATATGTTGTACTACGTGCAGAGAAGCTGCTGCTCTACAGAGATATCAAAGTAAGTACACTTTAGTTTCAGCTTAATCTACTGCCACATCTACTGCCACATCTACTGCCACCACAGGTCTTTGCATGTAAACACAAAGTATCGGGTGAACAGAGAGTGCCTTGTGTCACAAAGAAATTTATAAAGTTAAGGAACTGCTTGAAAAAACACACAATGTGTTAGAATGGCGCCTACATAACTGCAACCACATAGACCAAACTCCACCCAAGCTCTCTTTGCTTCATCTCCCTGGCGACATGTCCGTCTCAGCGATCCAAATCTTCAAATTAAGGAGGAAAATTAAAATATACTGATGGCAGCATACTTACCACTCTCTTTTCAAAAAAGGAAGTATATTTGCTTCTGAGAGGACCACCAGGCCCAAATTCCCTGGGGGTCTTTTCTTCTTGGCACATTTCTACAGTTGAAACATGGGATTCGTAAAGGAGTGTGAAGAAGTGTTAATAATTGATGGAGGTGCTCTAACTCTGGCAAGGGGGCGGCGGGGTATTGGGGTGCGAGGAGGTGGTGTGTGTGTGGGGGGGTGGGTACTTTCACTGAAAGCTTTTCTAAATATCAGGTTGCATAAGAATGTGGCTAATTACTGTGTAAATGCAAAAGAAATTAGAAGTGTTACTGAAATTTAATTGATATTCTTTGGCCTCTACAGTTATTGCCAGGTCTGTATTTAGCACAAATTATGTTGGATGAAACAGGGAATGGGTGGTGGATTGTCATGTGTAGGTGTCAGAGGCAAGCTATAACTTTGATTTGGTTCGCTTTGTTCTCTTCTACTTTGTTCTTTGTTCTTTCTTGCTTGGAAGAAGAGGTTTGCTGCTAACGATTCAATTGATCGGCGAACTGCGATGCCGGTGCTGCACAAGTTTGTTGGCATTTCATTTTATTGCTGTTTATGTCTTTATGGTTAGTTTAATGGGTGTCTTCGTTTTTTTTCTTTCATTAACGTATTCATGCTAAATATTGTTTGTTTTTGTTTGTTTGTTTGTTTTCTTTTGCAGGGCACTAAAGCAGAGAAAGTGATTCAGCTCAAGTCTGTGAAATGTTACCTGGGCCTGAAGAAAAAGCTCAAACCTCCAACTGAGTAAACTGCACTCACACGCACTTTAAATATCTAATGTCTTTTCCTGAATCTATCCTAAATCTGAATCTGTTTTAAAATATCTGCAATAGATTTAATAAAACAACGCAAATCACCATCTTAGTTGCATGTCTTCAGTCAGTTTTCAGCAATACTATAAATGACCACAACTGCAGCTGAGTTAATTTAAATGCACTGCTGGAGTAAAAAAAAAAAAAAAACTAGTAAACATAATATAGTTGGACTTAAACATACACGCGAAAAAGGAAGGCTATGGATAAAAACAATCTGAAATGTAATAAGTATATGATTGGCTGCCTCAACAAATATAGACGACTGCACCTGGTATAAGCTGCAAAGTACTTGGTAAAATATAAATTCAGTCTTATAACTTGTGGTTTTGTACTTTGAGCTCCTGTAAAGTGATATTTATGCGTATTTATTTGCTGCAATATTCTTTATTTCCATCAGTGAAGGGCTTTCCATTGTCATGTAGGTATTATGGAGATCTGGATGATAAGAAGCTGTCACATATCTCTCTTCCTCTGTGAGCAGACAACAAAACAACAGCGCCACAAATTTTACACCTGCTTCTCCCAGACGTTAAATCACAGACGCAACTGCCTCAGCAGTCAATCAATAATTATGAGCCAGTTTTAGTGGTCATTTATATAAATTTCCACTCCTTCCATGCAATAAACATTTTTTTTTTCAGTGCAAAAATGTATTGTGGCTGCATAATGAATGTGGTCAAATGTGACTCATTAGTGCTAAAACAGCTGCTGCATATTCTTAGAAAATCCACACCCATGTGTTATTAAGATGAACTAGTGATTATTTAGCATTGCGCAACAGTTTGTATGTAATCTATTTGTCCCCAAAGATATATTGCCCTTTTTCTTCCCTCTAACTAAGTTTTGCGTCACCAGGAGATACCCAAGCCACTCCTGACCCCATCTTATTTTTCACTGCAGTGAAATTGATTAAATGTAATTGCATTTTAACAAATACAAATTATCAAACTGCGGAATAGAAAACATTGCTGCCACTGTTTTATTTTAATGATCTTCTATTATTATAATTTATGACACATGCCAAAACCTTAGCAGTTCTTGTTGGTCAAACAAAGAAGCCATTTTTTTTGAGAAGCCAAACCCTATATATTTCACATTACCCAATTATAATTCCTCATAATTTTCCCCATGTCGAAATTTTGAGTCTGGGGAAGCGTGAAAAATGAGTCCGGCAAGCGACTGTCTGCATTACGCCATCCTTCAGGGGAGAAAAACTGGATAAGACAGAGGCAGTGGGAGATGAAGAGAGAGTGAGGGAAAGAGGGACAGAAAGAAAGAATGATACAGTGTGGTATCACAGATATACTGTTGAGTGGGCTGTGGGAGAAGTGAATAAAGAAATAAAGACAGAGTGCTGAGGAGAACGGAGAGAGTCATAGTGAGAGGGTTAGGAGAGGCAGCACTCCAGTACCTCATTAGGCCGAGGTCTATCTGTGAGCGGCCTACTGCGGGGTTGGATCAGCTGCCTTAACTCACAGGAGTGGTGCACCAGGCTGCGGGCTTTCTATCTCTGCCCGCTCCTTTGCTTTGTTCTTCCCCCACTTCTTTGCTCCTCTTCAGCCACAGCCGGGAAGGGTTTCAGGGAAGGTGTATTCTCCGGGAACGTGGTCTTTTGACATTACACTGCCTCTGTGCAGGTTAATTCACACTGAAACACACATATATACATGTAAATATACACCTTTTAAGCATACAAAAATCATGTGTGTGGGAATTTATTTAGCTTGCAGCATCATGCAATTTACCACATCCTTATGCGATCATTTAAATTACATCCAGCAGACACTGTTCATGTTGTAATACAGGAATTCTTCCACTTGCAAGACATTTGTATCTCTTGCATCTCTCCCAGCAAAATGTACTTATAGGTGAGCAGCATGCGGTCTGTGTGTTGTACGCTTTGGCCCAGAGCATATTGAGGTCTGCCCATGCATAAACATGTGGACTGGAAGTGAACTGATTTAATCTAATTAATTCCTCTGTTTAGCACCTAGCATTTGTAGAGAACTTGCTTTTCCTCTTTGCATTTTAATGAAAAGGTTGTGACCTGCTGCTATCTTTAACAATACTTTCTCAACAAGTTTCTTATTTAAAATGTTTTTATTAGTTGTAGTTGGATACTTTAAAATTTCCCATTCTCTCGGTGTACAGGACATTGTAAGTTTCAGTTTGCAGAAACAAAATCTCAGAATCTGACCCGTGTCCCTCTCGTTTAACAGCTGGGGCTTCACAGTCTACACTGATAAACAACAATGGTGAGTGCCGTGCAGAAGTTCTCCAGTTCAATAATTGATGAGTGTGACTTTTACCCTTTCACTTAAAATGTCTCCAAAACAGACAGAATCAAGTGTCACAGAGGTAAAAGTTGATGCTAAAGCACTTTGTAATGGTCTAAATGGGTTAGTAATGGGGCCGTCAGGGCAGTTCAATTATATTAGTGATGGTCACATAGTGAGAGACTGCTGTCTGGTCGACTCAAACAAAGTGAAATAATATACAATGATTTTCTCCTCTGTTTTTAATTTGGTCTCTATTTGTAGTTTCCTTAAAAAAAACAAACATCTGCTGTAACACATAAAGAGCTGCCTTCCAAGTTGACAAATGCAATTCCTGACAAAAGCTAGCTACTCTCATAACATTTCTGATATCAGGATAAACTTCTTCTAATTTATCTAAGTTATTTAAAAAAGACCTTCCTGATTAGGATAGGAATATTTCTGACAAATATCAAGCTAGCAGCGAGACTCAAGGGATGGCTGTACGTGTGTTTGGTGCTAATTAGCAAAGTTAGCATGCTAACACACTTAACTACGGTAGTTATTGTGTTAAATGTTAAACTTCTTAAACATTCATGTTAGCATTGTCATTGTGAACATGTTAGCATGCTCAATTTAGATCATAGCACAGCTATAGCTAATGCTGCATTTGTGTGCTTCTCGGGTGGCCTCATTTCCCTAGTTGGAAAGTGGTTCTTTCAACTTTGGTGAGCTTTAAGTCGTAATGTGGAAACAACATTGCCGTTTTTGTGTAGCGCCTGGGTGGTGGGTTGTTGCGATGTATGCGATGTTGCTATCCAAGTATGCTGAAACAGTTCAGAGCTTAGTGATTTTGTCCCACCAACTGACAGTTACAACCTAATACCATATTACAAATTACATGTGAGCAAAACATGAATTATTAATTACATTAATCTTAACGAGTTATATTTCCGACTTCCCAGCTGGGAGCACACTTTCCGACACCACATGAATGCAGGGCCTGTACAGCCTCACAGAGCTGCTAGCATGATTGTCAAATCTTGTTGGCTTGAATGCAGCCTTTTTAAAGTTACATTTAAAGAAAAGCGGAGAGGAAGAGAAAAAAGACACAAAGGCTCAAAACTGAATAAGAGTATAATAACAGAATACAGTACAGACCTGAAACCATCATCCTAGATTGGTACTTACAGCACAAATCACTGCTGCAAAGGGGTCATTTACCCACGCAGATTCATGTAATCAGAGGTAATGGCAGCCAGCCCACCTATCGTCAAGTCTATTTACAGTGATCAATGAACTGCTCCCTCAGAAGACCCTTTGTCCAGCGCTGTGACTAAATCCAGTCACCTGGTTAAAATTAGTGTGAAAATAACGAGGTGCAAATCAGCGACTGAGCTTTCCCTCCTCAGGCATTTCTGCTGCGAGAAGAGGGAGGCGCAGGTCGGCTGGGTGACGGACATCATCAGGATGAAGGTAAGATGATGTGCAAAAGAGATGTTACAACAAGAGTGAGTGCATGCAGTGATGTTGGGAGTGCAGGAGAAATATGTGTATCCTTTATCTAACCCTTTTACTGTTCTCTTGCAATCCAAAAATATCAGTGAATGTGACATATATATTGCGGACTCATCCTCCTTTTCCCTTCCTTATTTGGATGAAAGATACACTCTGTTACGGCCAGGAATAAATCATCTTTTACAATCCATATCTCAGAACAAGGAGATATGATAAATCATATTTTCCCCAATCATCCATTTTCATTGTGCTGTTAGGCAGATGAAATACATAAACAGCGAAAGAAGTGTAAAGTTTTCGAGGTCACTCAGCAATAACATAAATCATTTTATGTGGAAAAGCTGTGAGAATAAGGTCAAGGCGACCATAACAATCACATTGTGGTACTTAGCCCCAAGATACAGCTAAGTGTTGTCACTGTCAGTCGCTGACACAGCACATATGACATAAATAATGCAAGGCAAAGCAAACACAGGGAGTACAGCTACGGATGTGTCATATTTTTGCATTATTTTCATTCTCACAATCATTCCTAACTACTTAGTCGGTTAACCCTCTTGTTTCTTCATTAGACTATATACATAGGTCTATTTTCTGCTCATTTCCAAGAAAATGACCAACATGGACTCCACTCTCACCCTAAACTGAAAGATCTAACCGTATCTTTCACATTTCACAGCCCTGTATTATATGCTCAGAACATTTAGTTCATCAGTATTAGCCCTCTGCTCTGCTTCCTTTATGGGAACCTGTCTGCAGCACAGTATTGTTTATCACAGGTGCTTACTGTAAAAACCTTTTAGTGCCTTAGTTTGGGTTAGCAAGTAAAAGGCAAAACTGTCAGAGAGGGATTGATCCAAAGTGGGAGCCAATTTTTGTCTGTTGTTTTGAGGTGTTTATTTCAGTGGGCTCAGTGACTTTTCTCTGCTCCTTTAGAGAAGCTCTTAGCTCTGCAACAATTTAATCTATAGCAGACTGGAGCCGGCTAAAAATATTAGGATTCTCCCCCGGAATCCGCTAAATATCAGGATTGTCAGCTTGCAACGCAGGGGCTTGTGGGAAGGGCAGAGAGAGCGTGTAGATGAGAAAGTAGACGGAGAGCACTTAAGTGTTCTTGATTTCCTTTCTCTTACCTGTTAGCGAGCATTGTGCTCCGACAGTTTCCATAGCAACTAGCGACGGAGGGCCTAATTTTGAAGCAAGGTAAAATGGATGGTGAGAGTTGGGTGGGTTGGGGGAGGGCAGTAGAGGAGGGGGGGTAAAGGTCCAAGGACAGGTCCGAGCAGTGATGAAATAAGGATTTGTTAAAGAGAGACAGTTCTATAGGGTCACGGTGATATAAAAGGAGACATTGTTAAAGAGAAAGTTTAGCCAGGGATCAGAACACTGTCGGACCGCTGAGATGGTACTGAAGATCGTCACCCTCTGACTTCCCCTCATTTGTGCTTGTGTTAGTCCGGGCAAAAAACAGCAATTTATACCTGTACATCCTGTACACTGATACCAGCGCTACTTTTTCTTCTTTACTTTATGATGAAGGTAACCTCATGGAAACTGTGAATAAAAATAGTGAAGAAACAGTACTGGATACTTCATGGTGCTCTCATCTACTGTCATACTTGTCTGTATTTGTGCAGAGATGTGTGTTTATGTGTATCACCCTTTACATCGGTAGAATCCGAGTACAAACGGTACCCGTCCAAAACATATTTAACTTAAAGAGAAAATAAGGGCAATGAATCAACATGAACTGTCTTTGTTGTCCACACTGAACACAACAGGGTTGTTATTTTATTTTTTTATTACCGCATTACTAATTTCTGCTGTTGGCTGTGTGTGTGCAGTACGGCTCTGACCTCTGTTCAATGAACGTTAACTCAAAAGAAGGTGCAGATCTCAAGTCCCCCAGAGGGGGAGCTGTGCCCGAAGGCTGGAAGATGCCAACACACAATCACAATTCCGACAGACAGGTGAGAAGTCAATGAAAAAATTAATTAATGTTTATACCAACATGTTTGGCATTAAAAAGTTAAACATAAAATCTTAAATAGTGAATAGCTGTTTTAGATGCTGCAGTTCATTCAAAAATCATGCTGTATATGTACTACAAGGGAAATAGTTTGATTGATTGACTGTGCACACAATGCGCTTAAGGATCTCTAAATAGCCGATGTCAAACAACTGTAAACAAATTCTCTGTATAGATCTTCACCGTGCTCAAACCTTTGCTTTTTCCTTTGTTTGCTGGCAGTTTTTCTGTTGCATTCAAGTTACATTGGGAGAAGCAGAGAGGTTTTCAGTGCCTCAGCGCAAGGATTTTTTTTTTTTTGTTTAAGTGTTTTACCACCATCCAGAGCAACTTCAGTTTGATGAGTTGTTATCACCACTTTTAATGTGACAATTTTAAGGCTAGTTGTTACTTTATAAAGGAAGTTATGTTAATTTACAAACATGTTGGGCACTTTACTTATTAAAATACATTCTACATTACATTTTTTCTTTGAAAAAGTATTTACATTACTGAACAGCAAAAGTAAATAGCTAAATCACTCTTTCCATTACTTTGCATCACTAAGTTATGTGTTATTACTCAACACTGCTTATACATGTCAGTAAAAGCCGCTGTAGTCTGTAGTTGACTTAAATTCAATTAATCTTTATCTGCCATATTTGCCCACAGTTGAAAGACAGGAGGATTTCTCTTGATGATGGCAACCCAAGGCTCACCAAGGATTCCACTCTCAAGATGAACACCATGCTCAAGGCCCCAGAAGTCCCGCACAGACGACCCTCTGTGGATGTTTGCCTGCCTCAGCGCCTCCCTTCCCCGTCCCCATCCAGACACTCGCAGCCCATGGCTTTGCCCCTTCCTCCTCAGAGTGGCTTTAAAACCATCGGCAGGAGACCTGTTCTGGGTGGGGAGGCCTTGATTCCGCCTAATCTGCTGAATGAACTCAACTCGGTGCTGAGCAAGACTGGCCGCACTGCTAAGAGCAATGACTGACAGGAAGCGGTAAGGCAAACATTACAGCTCTGAGTAGAGAAAGAAAGATGTGGAGATTGACAGAGAACAACCACACAAAAAAACAGATGGAGCCAAAGTAAGTTGCTTTCATGCGAGGAGCCTAAAGACTGCTTTTAAACTCGGATATATCAAGAGATGCCGATGCACAAAGGGTAGAAGATGGAAGATGTGGAAAACAGGTGCAGGAGACACTGGAGGTCATGCAGGCCTCAGCTGGACATGGCACTGACCCAAGCACTACTAAAATGTGATTCATATGCTGCTCTTCTAAACCCACAGAATTTTATGAAAATATGTTTGGCTGTCAAACCTCAGACGTTTCCAGAAATACCCCAAACTGCTTACTTCATGCTTTTAAGGTTCCACTTACTTTAAAAAAAGGCTGTTTTGACTACTTGTGAAAAGTACTGTGATTATATTAATCCATATACAGTTAAGTTCATCTTTAGTTAAACTTTAGTTAAAATAAAATTCACTAGCAGATTTGCCCGCATTCACTTTGTACTGTAGTTGCACTTATTAAATAGAATTTTTAATTATTAGTGGCAGGGTCCGCCATCTCAGCACAGAATTAAAATACTCATAGTTATGTTCAGGAATGCAAAGAAAATGATGCATGCATATAAAATGCAAAAGAAAAGAGCAGGATAGGGCCACTAACCATTAACGATGGCTAATAGACCTCCGTTTTCCTTGACACGAGTGGTTGGCAATCTCGTGTAATTATTTATTTGTGCTTATTTTTTTTATATATTTTTTATCAGTTACCCACCATTTTTTTCACTGTAACCATTAACTGTATGGCTAACTAGCAGCATTTTTAAGCATATGATTCTGTGGTGCACCACTGTAAACTGCCACCAAATGTGATTTTAATGTACAGTATAAGTATATTAATAAATATTGCAAAAGGCTTTAACACGCCATAGTACTGACAGTTTAATCTTTCCTGATATGTAAATTGCATTTGTCCCACATTTTAGTGCAAGTTGCACCTTTTTGTTTTGTTTTCTTAAAAAAAACAAAAAAGATTTTATGTTAAACCCAAGCCAAATTTAGCTTAAACCCCTTCATGTTAGTTTGTTTTTGCATGCTCATTGGTAAAAAACACACCGCAAAATATAAAATTTTGTTTCCCTGTAAGAGCGCACGCAATAAAGTCTTTTAAAAGCTTTGTGAGACTTTAGATTTCCGGCTCATGTTTAGTTTTCATTTGAAGTAAACATTCAAATGGACTACGATTTAGCACAGGTGTCACAAGATCCACAGAAATAGATGATATTCAGGGGTTTCACTTTAAGAAAAAAGACCACCCTATACCCACTTTAAATGACTTTGAACTAGATATATTAGATTAAGTATGTCTGTAAGACTCCACTCGACAGAAACACCATAAAATATCCACAAATAAAAACAAATTTGTAATGTCATGCTCAATCAGAAGCAGGCCTTGAGAGATAAATGAACTGGTTCCAACCTGAACAGAAACATAATTTTTTGCCCTTCTGTTGAAGTTCAGGTGTGAAATTAACAGTCCTGGAGAGATCTCAGATCTCAAAATAATTTAAAGAAACTGTTAAATAAAAAGCATGTGATTGTCTTTGTTAATACTTAGTGGGCACACATGCTCCCATGTACAGTATTTATTATTGATTTTCACTTAATAAGACTTGACTGAGAGAGACTGGTGCACCTTTTGAGCGGTGCAAATTGAAATGATCTATTTTTGCAGAAAGATATGTCTAAAAATTAATGTGTTTCAACAAGAAATGCAGGTGGTGGGAACAATGGAGACGGTAGAGGTGTCAGTGTGTGAGTATTTAACAGAGAGATACACACAGAAAATTAGTTTTTAGAAAAATTGTCAGTTTGATACTTTTTTTATAGCGACAAAACTGCATATACACCCAAATCCATCAGATATTTGCAGTTAGGTAAAAAATAAATACTACATGAAGTAAAGTGAAATAATGTGAAATGTGAAAATGAAAAGTGATAAACATCAGTGTTGTTTAATGATAATTGCCATCATTGCTTTAAGGTTTATTATGCATCATGGATTTTTTTCCTGTTGATTTGCTAAGAGCTCTTTATCTGTGTTTTACCTCTATTTTAATATTGTGTCTGCTGCTGTCTGCAGATTTATAAAATGCAGTCATATGGGCTATTTTTTCACCAGGTAAATCTGTTCAGTATATATCAGGATTTCATATTCCATTAGATAGATTTTCTTTCGTACACTCTGTTGTGTTCTATGAACATATCTGCAAGATTTAAGAGATTGTGTCCTGGAAGCTCTTAAGCCCAGTTGTGGATTTCAGCGTGAAGACTCCGTCTTTCGTCTTTGACTTATTCATATATAATTATATCATTATATTTCATCCAATTCCTCTTTGAGTTAAATGTAAGAATAAACTTCCCGTCCCAAGTCACGCGCTCTTGTTGAATAATGTATTGCAATCGGAAGATGCTCACGTAGGCAATTGTCACACAGGTTCCTCCATGAAAAATTCATATTTAACATTTTATTTTCATTACGCCTCATACACCAGCTGGATGTCCTTTGTTTCATGTCCTTATACTTCAATCATAGAGCACCACATTTATGCATTTGTGGTCTTAAGCATTCCTTATTCTTTGTTTGCACTTTGCAAATGTGTTTCCTTCCCTCACTATATTAGTTCCATTACTATGTTCATTGGACTAGTAGAAATGAATACGGTCCTATTTAATTGGCCTGTTGAGAGTTATTTTCATCCCATAGCAGCCCTGGTTCCACTGACAGCAGACAGTGTAATCTCCTGGTTCTGATGGGTGATAATATACTATACTGTATGTGATGGCATAAAATTCATCTTTTCATGTCTCCTATCAGTTCTGACGCCATACCTTCCCTAGATCCTCTGCATCTTTCCTTGGACTGTCATCAGCATATATATTTACCTCTCTTGTCCTCTGTGTCTGTGTAACCCAGAATTTCTGCCATCCCTCTGAGACCTATAGTGTACGAAGGTCACCATATGGTGAAAGTGGTGAGTTCAGTGAAAAGCTCTGCAAAGTCATTATATGCTTTGACATTGACCATATCGCTCTTTTGAGGTAACAGCTTGCACAAAGGGCAAGCACAAGTACATTTCCTCAAGTACTGTACCTACATACAATTTTGTGGTAGTTGTATTTACTCATTTTGTGCTTTTATTCTTCTACACCACTACACATCAGAGGGAAATTCTACTCCACTACCTTAATTTCACAGGTACTTGTTACTTTTCAGATTAACATTATAACATACAATAAACATAAAAAGTTTGTAAAATACAATACATTGTTAAAGATTAAACAGGTTTTCCCAACCTTTACCAAAGACAACAACACTACCGCTAACTAAGTACAACATCAATAAGAAACGCATACATGTCTAAAACTTGAACATTATAAGCTTCATAGATTTTATGGCAGAGCTGTTGTTTTGAATTATAATAGACTGTACACATATACCTACTTAATGTGGTCGCTGATGTTATTATCAGCATATAAAATATTCTGTCAAAGATTAAACTAACCATTAATATATAAAGTGGCAGCAGGAACATAAAAATGTTGCTTGCATGCCTATCCACCCATATTATAGTGATAATAATCCAATAATAAAATATATATAAACCAGACCATAAAAGTTCAGACCAGTGGTTTTGCATGTTTTCACTGATTTACCTCAACATCTACTACACCACTTATACTTTACATCACAATTAACAATTTTGCAAACCATGATACTGTGTTTCAGAAATGTCGCGGTACTTTTCATACTGTCCTGGCAGCCATTGGCTTCCATTCATTTCTGTTCAATATGAAAATGAAGTACTGTAGAAGACTCTTGCTTGAGTTGTGGATTCCATCCTGGTGAACATCAAGTCTGCGTTCAGATTGTTTTCCAAATCAATCTGTAAAGTGCTAATTAAGACATCTATGCTTTAACTTTGACCAATGCAGACCTGGTGTTCACTGTGATGGAGTAAACAGCTCAAAGTTTAAGATGCAGCTAACTGATCTGCATATTACACAGAAATGAATGGAAACCAACGGATTCCAAGAGTACAAAAAACGAAACCTTGAAAACACACAGGTATGGTCCTTTAGGTACATTTTGTGGATGATACAGATGTACGTGCACTTAAGCATATTTTTACAGGCCAGTATTTTTACATTGTGGTATTGCAACTTTTTCAGTTTCTTCCACCGCTGGTTAGCTTGTGTGCTCTGAGTCATTCAGCACATGCATGCAGAGGTGTACGCTGTGTTCAGTGTTTATGCAGACAGCGATGACAGAGAGAGAGAGAGGGGAGGAGGATTAGAGAGAAAAGGAATGAGCTGATATGCTCGAGAAAGAGAGAAAATGACAAGTTATTTCAAAAGACGAGACATGAACCCTCTGATTCGACGTGAGATGCTTCTCAATTAAACCCGGAGCCTGTAGGGTTTTTTTTCCCTTAAAAACAAGGCATGACTTAATCCGATGCAGTTTTGAAATGTAGAGGTTATTGATCAGCCCTTGGCCTCGTGGAAGTGTCCACTGAGGCTTCCCCTGTCTCCCTCCATCTTTGGTGTTTGCTCAATTTGTCTGTGAATAACATAAACATCAAGGGCAGAAATGAAAGAGAGCACATGAGTGACAGGTCTCAACATGGCTCTAATGCCACTTTAGAAAATTATAATACAGTCTGCTTAGAAGCACTTGCTTGGCCTTATGCTGACTTTGTGAAACAGCGTGCTATTAAAATATATGTCCTTTGCATATTGGCCATATGCCTTATCATCGATGCTCAGTCATTTTTGGAGGTAGAGAAAAAAAATTGCTAAGATATCATATTGACTTAAAGCACACCAGATGTCCGTGCGGATAGCACACTAAAAATTAAGTAATCATCCTTGCTTTATCCGAGATAACTGTAAATCAGAGACGGTACTGTTAACTCTGACATACTGCAGCTGTATAACATGCATGTCGATCCATGGCCCCAGTGATTTACATTTCCAGAAAGGGTAAGCTCTATATTAATGGAGCCGTCCATTTTAGCAGCTATAAATAGCTCACTGCATGAAGTTGTCCCACTGCTGGCTGCCTTTTTACGCTGATCCACACATTCTGCCCTCTAATCTCAATTCTATTAGTGTCTCGGATGATATTTACGACACGTGGACCCTTTTAGCCTGACATGGCTGTAAAGTATATGTTCAAACAACCCAGCCAAGCTTTATCTAATTAAAAGCCTCTGCAATTGCAATTCAACTGGGATTGAGTCTTTAAAACCTCAATCATGCCCCCCCCCCCCCCCCCCCCCCGGCTGAGGGAGAGGGGGAGTCGCCACAGAGCTAATAAAGAAGTGAATGTTAAACATTCAAATTAAACAATGTGGGAGAATAAAGCTGTAGATCATTTTCATATTTTTCCATTCTTGGAATTCCAATGTAGGACATTGCCAGATTGAGGAGGTCACCTCAGTGATAACATAGTGTTTGTTTGGGTGGGAACCTTACTGTCTTGCAACTAAATAATAATTGTTTTGCATATGACTGTAGGCACAGTTTCTACTTATTCAGTTATCCAGAGTCAAACACACACAATTCAATTCAATTTTATTTATATAGCGCCAAATCACAACAACAGTTATCTCACAGCGCTTTTCATAAAAGAGCAGGTCTAGACCGTACTCTATGATGTTATATACAGAAGCCCAACAATTCCCACCAAGAGCAAGCACTAGGCGACAGAGGCAAGGAAAAACTTCCTTTTTAAGAGGCAGAAACCTCGAGCAGAACCATGTCTCAGGGTGGGCGGCCATCTGCCTCGACCGGTTTGGAGGTGAAGGAGAGAGAGGGAGAGAGAGACGGCAAGAGAGAGAGAGAGGGCAAGAGAGGAACAGAGAGAAAAAGAGAGGGATGGAAGTAGAGAGAGAGAGGGGAGGGAGGCAGCCTACACAATATCCACACAGAGGTACAGACAGTGAAGGTGATGTTGCTATAGACTAAATGAAAAATGGTACAGATATTTATAGTAGTGTTAATGGTAACAGTCGTAATGTTAATGATTATAATAACAATAATAACAATAAGACTAGCAACAATAATTGCAGCAGAGGGTGTCGAGCAGGAACACGGGGGCAGCAGGTGACCCGCATCCACAGA